CCCGGAATATTTGCGTTTATTGACCGATACTGTTAATTTCGGAAACAGCGTGTAACAACCGACGGATATTCATATTATTATAATCATCGTTTTTGTTTTTTCCTCCCGGATTCGCGAAGATTTAATACTAATGTAGATGCACATAAGTATATAGACTAACTATAGCCGATCAAATAGATGACAGGGCGCATAAACACATATATTATCCAATATGTAGGGCCCGGATTCAAAAGCACTGAAAATCATCGAAAAACGTTAAAAAAAAAAAAAAAAAAGAATAACAATGTTTTTAAAAAATGCATTTAGTCGTGAAAATGTCTTTAATAACAAAAAAGACGTAAGATTTTTTTTTTTAATTTATTGTTTCATCTGGTAATTCATAAAATTTGTATTCTGTTTGAAAAAAGTGAATGATAAAATATAATCCTAATAAACTAAAACCTGTATAGGTACTTAAACAGTTTATAACGTTCTGGTCCCCATCATCGATATATTATTATTATTACGTAGACTAACGAGGTACGTGTAAATTTCGTCCTGTAAGTTAAAAAAAAAATAAATAAAATGAAATTGAAACCAATTGAAAAATTGCGATTTTCAACGGTTTATATATAATATTGCGTATGGAAAACGAGGAGGAGGTGTACCAGAATTAATTATTACCAACCGATAGGAAATTTGCATTTTTTTTTTTTGCATCTCTTTTATACTAACCGAGCCCGCCCATAGAGCTTTTTTTTCGATTTCAATGTAAATGATTGCAACCAAAAACAATATATATATAATATGTATATCGATTGCTTTTTTTGCAGTATGTAGTTGGTATTTAAAACGGTATTAATACAACATTGAAAGCTTAAGTTGAGGCGAATAAAATTAAAAACAAAATAAAAACGAACAGCAGTCCGTAATAAACTCTCCGTTTTTATTTAGTTTTTATTTTAATTTGAAATTAAACAGTTCGGATTCCTATAAATTATTATGAATTCCCGGTCAGATTTCGAATATAAAATTAATTGTTTTAAACAGTCCGATACTGCCGATAGCTGTGCCAATGTTTGTTTCAGGATAGAAGTGTTGGAACGGAGATTTAACCAAAAATGATTTAACTCATATTGTCATTACAAAACGATAAATCATCGCTAATGTAAAACGATTCTGAGTACAGTATTATTAGCTGTCATATTTTCATTTCCTCGTTGCTAAGTTTATCCGGGAATCAACGAAAATCGAACATACTATTGTCAGTTTCTTCCGTTTATCAAGAAAACTACAAGAAAAAAAAAAAAAAAAAAAAATCACTTCCTCAATAACAAGAAGTTTTTGATTGGAGGAAGATATTCGGTAGACGGTTCTGTGTTAATAGACGTATAAAAAAAAATAAAAAACTCCCTAGTAAAATCAATACACATGTATCTAAAAATAACTGTGTATATTGTTACTCTTTGTCGGTAGGAGTTTGGTGTTCTTCTGAAAACTCGTATATCAATCGTTGTCGTCTGCAGTTGAAATTATTGTTCTCAAAGTTTTTTTTTTTTTTTAGAATACAATATTACATACTTCCATTATTCATGGGAGAAAAAACCAACAAAAAAGACGTGAAAATAGCTAAATATTCACGTTACAATATTACCACTACGCGGTTATTATTTGTTTTTATATCTTTGGGTAAAGTATAATTTTCAAAACAATTTATTTTATTATGTTTCAAAAATATACTTATTTTTGTGGATTACAAAATATCAAAATATTTTCCAGCCTGAGTTTATTATTTACAAAAGTTAATTCCCCCTCTCCCACACACACACACTCATATAAACGATATCCCAAACAATTTTCTTATTAAGAAATACATTTTATAATCTAATATTCAGTTTTTCATCAGAGTTTTATTAAACATTATGAAAAATTGAATTTTATTAATTAAAACGGGGGGTTTTTTACGCAACTTTGTTGAAACTTTTATTGTTTACAGTTTGGTCTACATTACGGCCATTCAAAACATGTATAACCGAATTCCGCTCAGAATTGTCTTTCATTATCAATGATTAATCTTTGTATACGGGCAAACATTAAATTTCTTCTTTACCTTCCCAAATTCTCACCTACAACAGTGTCTTACCTATCGTGCGAAGTATGTCTGTTTTTCTTGTTTAACTTTACACTCGTGGATTTAAGTTTTACCATGCCCAAAGACGTCCGATCAAACAACAAAAACAATAAAAAAAGGCAAAATTGTTTTAAAAATCTTATGAGTTTTCATCAATGGTTTACGCAATCAATCGTCAAGGAGAAAATATGCAAAAAAAAAAAAAAAAAACAGACTCTGAAATTACATATTTGAATTCATTGTACACGACACCTAACTTCCATTGCACACTACTAGATTTAATGTTAAGCCAAATAAAAATGTTTAAAAAAAATAATCAAAAGTCGCGAACCCTGTTTTTTTTTACAAAAGTAATAGTACTATATGGTTGCTTAGTTTTATATTTTTTTGGACACGGTGAACGGAATACAATATAACATAATATTATTTATCACGTTTATAAAAAAATAAAAAAAATAAAAAATACCTAACGGACGAGAATAATAAAATATTTACTATACTCGTTGTTACAATATCTCGTAATATATTATTAGGTATACAATACTTTGCATAATGTAATAATGGCGGGCATTTATAGGGGCGGGCGGAGCGATTGATAGACCGACAACAGCCCTTTGAAACGTTTAAAATCGAAAACATAATAATAATAATAATAATAATAATAATTTTATCTATAGGGACGATTTTACACAATTCGTGTTCGGTGTGATTATAGGACGACGTGAACACACACACACACACACGCGCAAAATAAAAACGTCGGTGGTTCGTGCATGCGTTATTGGTGATAAGAGCACGTCCGAAGTATTATATCCGTCAAACGAGCGCCATGTAAACAAAAATAACGGGCAATTTCAAATTATGGGCGTAGCGAGTTTGGTTTTGCAGTTTTCTTCTTCTGGCTGTGCCATGTGCCAGCGTTTTGGCCAGTAAACATCCTCCCGAACAGTGTATACGGGTGTATAATCTATCTTCTAACTTCGACTACAGTCCGGGTACCCGTGCAACACCCACCTCGGGAAATTTAAATTTTTTCCGGTACCAGGTATATTTATTAGATTCTCGACAGTTTTTCGAAAAACTTGAAAGAAAAATTTACTGTAACGATACACCGATTCTGGATAAAATAAGCTACTGAAGACATTCCGATATTTTTCCATTTTTATTTCTACACGAGGACCAGCACTTGAATTTAGTATTTATTTTGAATGTCACGATTCTCTTGATGTAGGAACGCCCAAACGTATTCAGAGTATTAAATCATCCTTTTAGAGGAGGAGGGGGGAGAATTAGTATCTCGGTTTTATTTCACTACCATTTTCCTATAACTAACCATACTTGGTGATTTTCCGAACGATCTGTATGTTAGAGAGAGATCAAACCTCCATTGCCTGTTTTTTGCTTCTTTACATTTATTAGTTTTATCGAATTAAAAGTAAGTTTACTTCTAGAGAACTCTTGAAGTATAAAAGTGCTCGAAAAATTATAATTTGTCTTCTTGATTTTTGATCAATTATATTTGATTATAATCACGTGGGTAAATACACAATAATTCAGTGGTGCCGCGAAGTATTTTAACCTTAAATCATTGATTTAGTTTTCAAACATTCCAACCCAAAAATACCCCCCCCCCTCCTACTACTAATGTATTGTTGTTTGTTAAATTTTAATAAAATTCGTCTAATTTATCAAATTTCCGTAATCATTTAATAAAATTTGTTTTGTAAAAACATAATAATTTGTCTTATATTTCTAAACACCCAGGAACCGACGACCCACCCAGCCGTTTTTTTTTTTATGAATCGCGTGATTCAAATACACCTCCTTCACTGTAATAATGTGTTCATTAATAAAAAAAATGTTATTATCTCGTTTTTATAATTAATAAAGGACTTATGTAGTATTGGTAAGTTTATATTAGTATTTGTAGGAATATGTGAATTATGTATTATTGTATGTTTGTTTTCATTTCTCTCTCCCCTTCCCCATAGAGAAATCTTGCACAGAAGCGCGTTTTCGGTATTCCGTAGCAAAACAAGACCGTGGTTGATATTGATGATACATGGCATTGATCCTTATAGTATTGGTCTGCGGTTGATCTTATCTGCTTAATATTACGTTCGTATTGCACGATTGAAATAAACTAAATATTTTTCATTGTTTTTATTATTCTGATAACTAAAGTAATGCATTTTATACGTATCGTTATAAGGACGCCCACATCCGCTTAATACTATATTAATAATAATATTATCAGTCCGAGCAACTACCGAGCAACACGAAAAAACAATGCTTACGCGGACTAAGTAAAACCAGCGACTAAACAATACATTTTATTCCGGTCTGTTCTTAAAATTGACTTATTTTATTACCGTTATCTTATAATATATGAGCAGCGGATAATAAATTTAGTCGAAACACGTTTATTTAGCCGTCCACACAAAGCGTAATATTATATTATAACTGTTAGCTGAGTATTTATTTCCAAAGTGAAAACAATTGGTTGATCGCGTTGCGGCCGATTTGGAATGAGTCCAACGGCGGTGTTCGTTCATTGCATTTAGCTCTTTTCGAATATTACTATTATTGTTTATAATAGCACAGTCGTGGCCGATATTTACGTTCCGATACGACATTGTAAATATTATAGTGTTATACGTATTCCGAAAACCGTAGTTCTCGGCAAATTTAACGTTTTCGATCGATTATTTGTAGGTGGTTGCCTATAAATGTAACAATACATTCTCCAAAAGTTCAAATCAAATAACACACACAATACCGTATCTGCTTTGATCCCGGGGAAGAAAGGAATTGAGAAAATGTTTGGAGTTTTTCGTAATACATTTTTTATTTTGCATATAACGGTCGGCTAATTTAAATTTACAACTGCAATATAAGTAATAATAATATAACAAACGAAACAAAATAATAGTTAGGATGGAATACAATTATATGTGTAGGTCTTATAATTAATGCAGTTGTTCTGACAGAGTAGGTAATAAAAAATGAACAGCATGGTGTGCCGGACAATTGGTAACATCATGGCGGTTTGAAATGTATTGGGTTCGGTCACAGCGTAGGTATTTTCAGATCGGTTATCCATGCAACTGCATGCGTAATTTCTACTTCAAACTTGGTGTTGAGACATGTTTCGACCGGATGCTTCATTTTTTGTTCATCTCCGCATGAGCAGAGGGGAGATTCCATTATTCTGATGGGCACGGGCTTTTCTCCGTTTTCACTCTATTAAGTATCTCCGGGTTTATTCGTTATAATTTTCTATGATTTCGTTTTTTATTTTTTTATTTTTCAATATAAACGACATAAATAATGTAGTATAACACATATATGTTATACTGAAAGTAAAAATATCGCAAATCAGTATGACGTACTTTTTATTTAGCTAAAGATCATGGGTCATATAATTAAATGACTGGAAAGTTGACCGGACGTTTTGAACGCCATTTAGTAATTATTGTACCGTTAAGCAATTTTCAAAATTTAATTCCTTTGCATTGTAAACTGCACAAAATTAACTTCAGCTCTCTTCCTTAGGACCGAAGGTATATTGTAACTACAGAACAAAAAAAGAAAACTACACAGTAATTAAAATAAAACACGTGTAACTTTTTAGGAGAGCAATTATAATATCCACGTATATGTAATTACAAGGGCCTAAAAACTTAATGAAAAGGTTATTTAAAAAAAAAAAAAAAAATATTTATGGCCCAAATACTACGGGGTGGTGGTTTAAACGGCTGAAGGAATTTTCACAAAACGATATCGTACCACTTGTAAAAACAATTTCCCTAAACTTTTCCGCCACAAAGACGCGGGTAAATGGCTTTAAAGCCACCGTCGTGCACACTGCCTCGAGCGTAATCATTTTCGCGTTATAGAGCAGAATACCGTAAAAAAAATAACCACTGTACTTATACTTTCGAAATCGACACCTAGCTATTATATGAAGACGTCGAGAAACTTTTCCGGAGATAATATTATAGAACTACATTATTATATACATATATCACCAACTTGCGTCCATATAATAAGTTACGTTATGGTAGGTTTTGCTGATCGAGCGTTTTGTCGTAAGTAGGTGTATTTGAAATAGAATAAAAGCTAATGGGTGCGCCACTGTTTTTAGGAGAAAAGTTAGAAAGGAAAATATAATTATACAGAGTAGTTTAATTTATATCTGTACACAGTGATAAACAACTACTTACGAAAAATGATTCTGAGCGGTGTATTTTTTTCCTTTTCCTTATTGTTGCCAAAGTAACGAAGACATCGATTTGACCGTTTTGCTAGTAATTAATAAAACAACAAGAAAAATCAAAAACGAATTCCATATTCACCAACTAGATCAAATAATGTGCTGCAAGAACGTTTCAGGAGCATTGCTCCTAGTGAATTTTTGATTGGAGCGAGATTACCGGTAGAAAATAGCGACATGCACAACGAAAAATATAAAACGCACAAAATAGTCTGTCACATAGTTTTCCTAGTTTCTTTTTGCAGCTCAATTATATTATTTTAAGGTCGTGCACATCGCGCATGGAATAATAACACGGCGATGACCGAAAATTTTAATTAAAAATCGATCGAAAATGTTTTTGAATTTCGAGACTTTTATACAAGCCATGAGCAACAGTCGTGTACGGTTTCGCCAACGGGATGGATTGTTATGAGGGAGGGTGAAGTCGGGATAGTGCATTTGAAACAAATTTTCGAACCGTTTTTCGGAATAATAAATAATTACTAATTTGATGTAAATATTTACGCGACCCGTATTCGAAATTACCAGGAAATGACGGAGCTTGTAATATGATTAATTATAATAATATGTACATACTTATTACGTGTGTAGGTACTGTTCGTAAGCAAATTTCTGATTTCGAGAGAGTGAAGTTTATAACCTACCCGTGTTTGCGCCACTGCGCGCGTATAATAACATTACGAAAATATCAAGTTTTCTCGTTGTCGTCGGAATAGAGGTGACCTCTCGTGAAAATTTATGTAATTCTATAAGGTCGACCTATACGCTCGACGCTACGATACAGCCTACCGTTTTAAATCTAATTCGAAATATTTACGACTGACCTGAAAAACTATAAATATGTATGCGTATTAAAGGTACCTGAACGATAAATTATTTTATCTCCGTACGTCCGTGTCTAAAAAAAAAAAAAAAAATTACAATAATAATAATGAAAACGGTCACGGGATGTATATCTTCAAAAAAAAAGATCCTTGGGTAGGTATACAAGATTATCATATTTTATTCATCTGTTATAATTTCTTTCTTTAAAATCTCGATAAATTTTAAATGATAAAGAGAATACTATTGGTTTTTTTATTTTTTTGGAGGAGGATAAGGAGTGGAATCCTCCCGATGGTTTTTCGACCTGGCGAATGGAGCGTGTATAAGTATTATATACTTAGTTCGTATTAAGAAGTTGTTTTCGCCAAAAATAAAAATAATGGATTTCTATAAGACGTCTATGCGCCTTTGTAGTGTGCAGTACAACACAATAAAAACGGTTTGATTTAATTAGACGCAACCTCTCCACCGTACTTATCTGTATATTTATGTACACAGTTAATCCGGTCCCGTCGATATGTTTTTCCAATCTAAGAGGACTTATACTGGGTAGGATTTTCCCCCTCGTAAACCCGCAAGACCGTGTTAAATAACAGTAATAATACTGACGAGGGGGAGAGGGGGGAAAAAAAGTAAAATACCTTTCGGTTAAATATATAAGTGGTTTTCTTCTCCCGAATCACGCGGTGTTAGCGAGGAGTAACTTAAATTAGGACGACGACTATAGCAGCTATATACGTACGGAAAGATGAAAGAAATCCCAATCACAGGACTCTGGGTTCGGCAGTTAATCACTCCGCCGTTTTCCGCCAGCGACCGCCCCTCGTTCGGTTGTAAATTTACGATTTACTTTGTTCGCTCTTATAATAATATTATTTATAGCTGACAAACACATTGCCTTTAATAGGTTTAACTATGCATTATAATATTTACATATTTTAGATAGTGAATGGAGCGAGGAATGTGTTTTTGTTTTAGTATAGGGTGTGTTCATTTTCGTTTTTAACTAGTGTCTGTAAAAAACATTGCTACCAAAAACCATGTTTAAATTTTTAAAAGTGTAGAGTCTTTTCTGAAAGAAAATTTTGTCGATTCGAACTACAAATAGCGCTTTTTTGATTTTCCGTGTCGATTTTCTAGTAATTGGAAAACAACAGTAAAACATGTATAGAAAGACGGAAAAGTTTACGGCGTTATAAGCAGAGGTGGACTGAGACACTAAAGGCTCGGGAAGGAAAGTTTTCAGGCAGCCTTAAATTGACCTAGTCTGCATAAACAAGAGACTTGTGTTACAATTTTTAATTCAAATAAAATAAATTTATAAGAAACTTATAACAAAATAAAAAGAAATGTTTGTGAATTAACTAAATTTAATATAATAAAATAAAACTTTAAAGAGTTACTTAACACTATAATTTTAACTCTTTTTTTTTTTTACAGACAAAATGAATAAAAAAATGTTTTCAATTTTACAAATACTAAGTTCTAAATTACTTTAAAACGTTAGTAAATTGCTTAGTGATCCAAAACTTTTTCCAATAGCGTATAAAATGATGTCTGTTTTTGGAATCATACCTGATTCTTCACTTATTGACATTAAGGATTCTAAGAAATCTTCTTTCCTTGTACTAATCGATCTGTTTTTTGATTCTGAGTGGAGGGAGGAATGTATTGAATTTACAATGATGTTATTTTTTTTATTTTTCTCCTATATTACTTTCTACCATCAATTTTAGAGCGATTTTTAATGACAACATTCGTTCTAAAAGGAAATCTGATCAAGGCGAAATTTTAAAGAGGTCATTTTGTGATTTTTTCATGAGTTTCCCCAATAAATAGGAAAAATCTGGAAAAAACGAAGGAAAAATGTGAAAATGTTTAAATTGTTGTCCTTTCACAATGCAATTTTTGTTCTATAAATGTATTTTCGGGCTTTTCTAATTTAATTAGAATTAGTTTTAATCGAACTAAAACTAATAGCTTCTTCCTTAACTCTAGAATAGTTAAATGGCTCCTTTCTAATATCACTCCATAAAAACCTAATTACGATAACACCATTATGAACACTTATACACATAAATAATTCTTAAAAAAGATAAATGATAAATTTAATATTTGCATATATGTTTTTGAATTTACAATGTAACACATCAAACACCAAACACATCAACACGTCATCATGAACAAATGATCGGAATTCGGAATTTCAATAAACTTTACAGTAATAAATAGTAAACACAAAGAATTTATTAACGATGATTTATATTGGTCGAACTATCGTAGACATTGGACAATAAAACGTCGATAAAAATAAGATGTTATATATTATTAAATAATTTAAAAAAAATTATCTAATAATAATTTTCATAGCCATTGCGAATGTAGTCGAACAATCCCAGTTATTTTTTTTTTTTTTTTTGTAAATTGTATTGTTTCCTTCCATTTCGGTTGTCGATAACGATTACAGTGTGACGTTCCAAAAAGCATTACAAATAACAAAACATAACTTAACCTAACCTTCCTAGAGGCCCGGAGTGTGTACACGATAAACCCGATAACTCCACAGCATAAAAGCGTTTTTATTTTGTTTTTTTGCTGAAACGTATCGAAAAATATATTAGTCTCGTTTCTGCACAGAGCCCTTCGTACTGCCTATTATAATAATTGTATACGAGTTATTATAATATCGAACAAGACCGTTCGTGTTTTTGATGTAAGAAATATTCCGAGTTCCATAAACAAACGTATACACGCAGACACTGGAACAATAATACCAAGTGTAGGTTAAATATTTGTTATTACAATATTTTTATTAATACGCAAAGGAAATATTATCAAATTTTCGAAATTGTTATGTTTTATTATACGCGGTGTACGATATTATTGCATGCCAATTGTAATAATAATAATAATAACACGGGTTTGATCTCGAGCATGAATAAGGTGAAAATCGCGTTTTAATTAATTTCATTGAATATACCTATTATACAGCAGCCGAAATGTAGACTCTATGGAATTAAAAGTGATTATAATTTTTGCGTGCTTATTTATTAAATAAAAACATTTTTTTTTTCTTGTTACATTATTTAGTTTAAAGAACAATATTAACAAATTAGGCGCAAGGTACGGAAAACAGCAATAATATTATTACCTTTGAAATAAAAAAACTCGTTTTAACGCGCGTCGTGAAGTGTTTTACACTTGGAAAAGTATTTAGTGACTTTTCGGTGAAAAATTTTTTTTTTTTTTTTAAGCTATATAGCAAATTTGGTGTCCCGTTTAAACATTCTGGCTGTGGCGAAAAAGGTCCATACTGTAAATGAATTGTAATAATTTATTTTGTAGTTTACATATTATCAGTGGTGGTCTCTTGATTTTTATCACATTCAGGGTTGTGTGGAGAGTAAGGCTGACATTTGAATACGTTTTTTTTTTTTTTTTACAAATAAATAATTACTTAAATAAATTATCCTTGGGAAGAAGCACTTAAGACAATTTTTTATACGTCTTATGCAATTTTTTTCGCCTTTATTTTTAGTCTAAATGAAATAAATGTATGTATATTTTAACTCATCGTGTTATGAAAATTAAAACATCTTAAGTCATTCTGGAATAATTTTTTTTTTTAGAAAATAAAGGGTATAAGTCAAGTTAAATAAACAGCAAATTAGCTACTATACCATTCAGCAATTTCTATTAAATAATTTACTATTCTATTGAAAATTGTATAAAATTGACTGAAGCCCTTATTTTCTGGAACTATAGAATGTATTATTATAAATATTGAAAACGAAAATTCTATGGGTACCCACTCTCTCTGCTATTGTCAAACTATCCCTGTTACAAAATAAAATAACTTACATTTTACCGAAAATATTTTCGACTAAAATTTCCTCAAAATATTTTTTAAATTGCAATGATTTTTTATTGATTTTCGTGTATAAACTTAATTATCCAATATTATAATAAGTCAATGTTATAACTTTCAAACTTGTCACCTGAAACAATGATCTATACGAATTACGCATATGTATCCGGATATTTTTCAGGACAAAAATGAATTATAATTTATATCTCACAATGCATAATTTAAACGTATGTGCGATTATATAGAAATCAAACGATTTCATGAATGATTATTAATTAGGTATTATAATATAATTTGATAGAGGTCTAGAAAGCAGCACGGAAATTGTAGGTACCACTATACGTATAATACGTAATAATATGCACGATTGTTTTTGAATTATAATTATAATACTTATGTTTATTCCCTTTGAAATCTTAATATTTGTACCAATCAAAAATGATCCAGATTTTTACATATACCAGTAAAACATTCTTAAATAAATATTTAGTTGAATTTACAAATATCTGAAGTAGTTTTAATATCATGGAGCTCATAATTTTAAAATCAAAATGAGTCCAATTCAAATAGTAAAAATGTTCCGATTATTTCACATAGTACCATGAAATATGCAGAATTACTGGCTGGTAGTATTTTAATTGATTCATTTTTAGAAAACTTCAACAATAAACCCCCTATGTCTCTTTTGTTTTGGTTATTGTCGAATTCTCAAAATCGATACCCATTTGTTTACAATTGATTTATCGGTGTATACAGTGCATAAACTAAATTATCTTATATTCGGTACTACCGACTACCTAACTATTTTTTTTACTATAATAATTGTTTTTGTTAAAAAAAAAAAAAAAAAAAAACCATATACGTTTTCAATAATATCTCTTGCATGGTTTGTTTGTTCCCGTCTAAAAACTTCTTTGCTCGAATATACGAACGAAACCCTCGATTTTCGGATACTAGCGTGGTAGCCTTTAATAAATATTATTATCTTTTCAAAATAATAATATTGTTACGATATTCGTACCACTACACTGATTTTTTTTTTATCCGTGCGTATAACAATAACGCATGTGATAGCATCGGATTCCCGTTCATCGCCGAGTAAACGTCGTCGCGAGCGCTGCCGATTTTTTCGACTGTTGTATTGTACACATGAGGCTAATATTAATTTTGACAATGTGTTTTATCGCCAAGACCATTTGCAGATAATTTTCCTCGGTGAATTGAAATTCTAACGAATTGATACGGAAATGTTGACGTGACGATGTCGGACGTAGTGAGCCTGAAGTTAACCCATCCACCTATAGGCGAGATAAGAGCTAATGTAAAGTGCCAAACGTGCAAATCACTAGCGAAACGTTGACACCAGTTTGGACGCGATCGGATGTAGTGGGTGGGCCAACTTCACGGACACAATTTATCCGGCACTTATCGCACGGTGAACGGCACAATATGACCGCATGCCACGCATCGAATAAAATACACAGTCAATGCTCCTGGTAACGTCACGGTAAACACAACGCAAATGTAATTACCGATTCGCGAGAACGCGAGCCAAACGTAAACGAGTATTTCACACGTTGTTGTGAGCCCCGCTCGTGAAAACGTATAACATAATTAATAATTATACGGATGTAACCGATAAAAGACGGTGTTAACGCCGTATTTTCATACGCAATTAGAATAATATATATTATGATAATATTTTAATATGTGGTTTTACTCCCCGTTTTGTTTTTATATTACGAAATTAGTTACAAAAACATTATTTGATGTCCAAATTTCGTATAAACAATAATTTAAATGCGTGCGCGGAACACAGCGGCGGTGGTTTTATTAAGATAACAGCTGGAAACAGTATATACTATAGTTAATGTATTATGCAAATTCAATTTTAAATCTACCGAAAAATGGGCGGCGGAGAACGTTCTCCATAGGTACCTACCCCATTTTATACCCTTATTGTAATATTAAAAAGCCAATTACTTATTCCGAGTAAATTTTAATTTGTGAGACTTTTTTTTTTTTTTCATACCGTATTGTTATTTCCGAAATTGAATTAACGTTACACCGAGTGGTGTTTAAAAGCGTATGTATAATATTACGCGCAGTGATGTTTACATCAAAATAACTTTGCTCACCTTTTTTTTATTTTCTTTATTGTTATTATTATTCTTCAGTGTGTAAGATGGACTTGCGCGAGTGTTTAAAAAAGTGTTCCTATGCCGTCGGCACATAAATAAATCGTTTAAAACGCCCGCGAAACTGTTTTGAAAAAACCACTATGAATATTATATTGTAAGTTATTAAACGGGCGCTTTGAATAATTAAAGTTTAAAGCCTCTCGTAATTCAGTTTTTTTTTTTTTTAAATTCGACTTTCATCAAATCAATGATCATTCTAAATATCAATTTGTTCACCTGTTCGTTCAACCATTTAAGTACTCGGTAGTAACGCAAAATCAGCCATGTAGCCATGATTTTTCGATGGAGGGGTGGAACAACTAAAAAAAATAAACTCAAAATCGCACATTAATTATCTGATTTAACATCAAGTCCTTTGATAAAATATTTAAAAACATAGTATACGATTGTTTTTAATCGTCCAATTATGAAAAAAAAAAAACCATACGTTTAGCATAGCGAAGTAACGAAACACGAAACACGATTATGATAAAAATATGGACATCGGTGGTCGGGGGCGTGTGGCTACTATGGCCCTCGCCATAATTACGCCACTGACACAAGACGATTTCGACGTGTATATTTACCAGTAGAATCTGGTAACCAGAAACGCGAGTATATACCTACTTAAATTGTATATTTTTTTTAAACTATTAAACGCTGTGATAAATAACTAAAATATTACGAACCTCACGAAGACTAACGCCGTAAAGCCCAAAACCGTATAAATTCATAATTTATCGACCGGACAAAACGTTAATAATTATATATACTCTAGTATAGTGATTACCGTAAGTTTAATGGGTGGATCTTATAAGTGTACTTCATGGAAAATTCAAACTTAAAGCGCTATACACTTGGAATTCGCATTTCAGATTATTATATTATATATTTTCAAATAATACACTATAGACCTAATAAATTTGCAATTCTTGGGGCTCAGTGAGAAATCTGAAAAGAGAATCTCGCCACATACGCCACGGTCACACGCAATGCAAGTATAACGTGATAGTTGCTATCACGATAGTTATACAATATTATTGCTATGTAATCGATACTATCACGCCAACGAATTATCACAATACAGATACCACCGCACTTGCATGATAAAGTTTTAGTTCTACCGTGGAATCACGTGCAATTAAAAATATTATAATGGTGCGAACCGAATTGAATATATTATTTTACACAATCACGATAGCGAAAAATGAGCGCTAAATATTTTAACAGTCAAATTTTTAACAAAATTAAATTGTATTTACTCAAACAATAGCTAACTCAACAATATTTTCCATAAAAATAGTACACTGACGCTAAACTATCATGGTATCACGTCTAAAATTATGGCGCAAAAATATACACAGTGATATTGGTAGTAAATTGTTGGGAAATCGGTATTACTTTCGCGATAGCAATTGTCTCGTTTAAACACACATATTTTGTGGCCGCAGCTTTATAAATTATCACCTACGCCTAGGCTATACGTTCAACTTTTTGTCTATAATATTAGCCGTTGTCGATGACTTTTGAAACAATAGTTATTTATTATGTGCTATATTTAAAATGTAAAATCAGCGGTGATATTATGTCAAAATTAAACCGGATCCTTAAAAATCATAATACGGATCTGTTCAGTCTCAATCGAGTTGTAATTAAATTAGAAAAAAAAAGTAAAAAAATTTGATTGTAAAATGTTTATACTCCTTGTGTACATCGTTATTAAATAATAGTAATAATATTTTACAAAAATCATTACTTTTTACTATAGGTTTAAGTATAATAATAATGTCAAAGAAATATGTTAAATTAAAAAAAAAAAAAAAAACATTAATTAACTTGAGTCTTTGAATTTTCAATTTGACCAGTTTCTAATATAGTTATAGTTTTATGTTTGCGGGTTTGTATAATAATTTCGAATTTAAACAATAAATTTGAACGGAACTCGTATATAGTATAGCCGGTACGGTATACCTATACCTACGAGGATAGTTACGCTGAGAAACGGAATGAATGCAATTTTAAACATCTTTTCGCCGCAAAGAGTCTGGAAATGCGTGTATACGCCACCGCGGTTAACATCAAACAGTTTTGCGGTTTTAATTAAAGTATATTGTAATAATAATATGTAATTCCGCGGTCGAACAATAATTACCATAATACCTACTCATTATTGATGGTAGCAAAACGGTTAAAAGGCTTTAGTTTACTATTTATAAGCCCTATACCTTATTAATGGACAGGTTAAATTTAAACGATTTCCCGTTGACATTAATTTCGTGGTGGATATAATAATAATAATTTAGCCCCGAGTAAACATTTCCCACTCTACAATTTCGTATACTCGTTCACAAACACTTTTTATAAGTCGAGACAATCGAATACCAATAAGATCAATTACGGGCTAGTTAAATACAGTAAAATTCTAAAGAGATATTGCCGAAAATGACTGGAATCGGCGGACAAGATCCAGAACCGTGATAGTTATTGGAGGACAACAGTGATGCATTTGAACGTTCGTATTTGAAGGGGTGATTTTATTAGTACACAAATCATGCATATAGTGTGTACCTTGGTCGTGTATTAGGGTCCAGGAATCTGGGATCCCTAATTTCCCGAACAAAAAAAAAAAAATGAAAAAAAAAACAAATAAAAAAATCTACGCCAGCATAGTTTAACAAGCAAAATAAATTGTATACGTAATTATTATTATTGTTAGATCATTAAAGAAGTAATAATATACCGAGTTATTTATTTTATATTACTGTGGCCGACGCTAAAGCATTGCTAACGGTTCTGAACGGTGTTCAAAGTTTTAAATTTCGAAATTCGGGTCACTAGAAATACTCTTCTCGTTGAATTAAAACAACAAAACAAAATCAATAAATATCTCCTTTTTTGGACTTTTTTCCGATTTCCCTCCAATCGTTAAAAAATGTAAATGGAAAATCAAAAAAGAACTAATCTAATGCAACAACTAGACACAATTTTCTACCGAAAACCAACCTTGGTGTTTACGAATGGAAGAGGAGGATTTCTGGTCGAAAAGTTGTTAAAAACTAAATCATTGTTAATCTTTTTATTTATCTGTATTATTATTTTTGTAAATAAAAGGGTTTAAGTCGGCAAACGGTTTCCTTTATCCCTCACTCAAAAGCTCCACTAAAAGACAGTACTGTGTCGTGTAAAATTCTTAGTGTTATAAGGCCTTTATAATAATAATAATAATAATATAATCATAATATAATGATAAGAGGTTATCGGATGAAACTTTCTCCAGATGAGTGCTTTTAGAGGGGGAAAAAAAACAAACCAAAATGATTGCAATAGTTTTGTTAAATTATATTCAATGATCATCATCGTTTCTCTCGAGCGGTTATAATAATATTACTATTGTTAACTGCTAATATTTCTGTATTTTCGGTTTTTTATTGATTCCACGCAAATAATTCGAACGTCTAGACTGTACAATACATATTAAAACGAAAACGAATAATGCAATAACGATTATTTAAATACACGAGTATAACCACTGCCGCTGCGGAGAATACGGCAGTAATGACGACGACCGTCGGAAATATCCGTTGAATAACAATTCTTCTTCGATCGTACCGAATTTTCAATATTGTCTGTACAACGAACGTAAAACGTTTTAAACACGAATTCATAACTAACCGTTCTGAACCAATTAAATTTCGCTCCACCTGCCGGGCGAACAGAACCGTACAAAATATTGGACTACCGAACCGTTTGTATATTGTATTTTATATACATTATCGTGTCCTTTTTTTTTTTTTATAATAAGCAGGGCTCCGGAATATTAGCGTTCGCGTATTATTTTCGATGACGCCAAAAACGTTCCGAACAAGAACGGAATTCGCTTCGCCGACGCCGCATTCAAATTTATTAGCCGTCGTTGTTTGTCTCGCACATTTAGAATTTGTAGAGATATTTTAATAATTTAGCTGCCTCTGCGTTGGTTTTCAAATAGCCGTACGAGACACCGTACGCATCGGAAAAATACGTTCGCACTCGCTTGTTATCGCCCGTCTTATCGGACAATACCGAAAGATACGGTCCGGAGAGATGAGTTCGAGGCAATACACCGGCATAACCGTTGAGTAAACAATAGAAATGTAAACAGTCGGACACGAGCGTTGATATCGACGAGACGCGGACACACGCCGAGTGAATGCTACTCCGCGGATATTCGCTAAAGAGACGTCCGACCGATTCCGTTCATATGTCGTGTACGGTATTTTCGAGCGATTTTCATATTATCGCGCGCAATCTTCGTCACGTAATTCCGCGGGACGGACGAACAGTTCGCCGGTCACCCGAGACAAGCCCCGTGTCGGCCCGTCCCGGACAGTCGGCGCGAACGTGGCGTGCTCGCGCGGTCGGACATCGACTGCTGCCGGCAGTCGTTTTGCGCGGTACCGGGCGCTACGACGCGGTAAACGTACGGATGCGGTGAAGGAAAAACGTGCCGGGACGGAACGTTGACCGCCCGTCGGCGTCGCGATTCCGACGTTTTGTTTTTCGGTGTCGCGCGGGAAAACGGTCGGGTTCGGAACGCGACGAATTGTCGCGTATCCGTACGTTATCATCGTAGTATCCGCGTTATCGTTATCTCGCGCGCGAGACCCGCCGGGCCCACGCGGCGTTCGACGGTCGACGTCCGCGTGTCGTATTCCGTCGCCCGTTATATCGCGCCCGCGCGTAACAAATATCGTCGCGTAAACGGCCGCCGTTCGGGACGCATCGGCGCGGTTTTGTCGGAGCGCGCCCGCGGGAAACTCGCGTGCCCGGTCACCCTGTACACGCGGTGTTATTGTCGCCGTTGTTATTTCGGATAAACAATAGGCCATCGGACCGCGGCGGGCACGGACCGCCCGAGGGTCCGGACGAATTATTTACGTTCGTACGTATCGCATTGTATTATACGGTTTCGCCGCGCCGCAACGACCCCCGGCGCCCGGGTACGCGGGTGCCGGTAACCGACGGAACCGCGATGCGCCCGTCGCATATCGCGCGTGCAATTCGTAATACGTAAATCGGGGGGCAACGCTACGCCCGTTCGGTGTCTACCCGAACAACGCGCGTTTCGTAATTGTTTTGCCGGAGCCTTTGGGACAAAAACGCAACGCCGTCGTTGTCGCGACTGTACGGACAATGTCGCCGGCCCGATCCGCAAGGGGATCCGTAATACCGGAAATTCCATTTCGAGGGTACCGCACTTATACGATCGGGAAAAAAACGCGCGCGCCGCTCGCGGACCGCGTTCGCCGCTTTTGCCGGACAATTATTTTACCGCGAAATCGGCTGCACGACGAAACAAGCCCAACGCCTATCCGTTCGGTAGCGCAGTGAAACAATTGTCTTATCTCCGTAACTCGCGGCGAAATATTACCCGTTACATTTATCAATTTCACCGTCGCGTTCTTAAATTATCCAACGGTTTTAGACTCGTTTATTGGATAACATAAAAATCCGTTACATATTTTTATTTCGGTAAAATATCTAAAGATAATTTCTAGAATAATAATGTTGTACGGATAAAGACTTGTCTCGAAACGCATAACACTATTCAGTTATCCATAGACAGCCCGTAACAAACGGATCATTGGTACGATCCGCAGATTTTAAACAATTTGTATTCCATAGAATCTCCGGTATGATACACGATTGTCATCGAATAACCGTTCCTTTATCTAATCCCGTCTACTACTGTTGTCCCCGGCATTTGTTTGATCGTTTTTACTATCGCCATTTTTTAAACGTGTACGAAATTCACAATATAAATGTCCATTCACGCAACATCAAATTGTATTATTTTTAGGAATTAATTATATTGTATTATATTAAAACCGTTGTCTGTGATTAGATTTTACGCTCAGGTAAGTCGATAATTTCGATACGGTTTAAAAATTAATGTACGTGGCGAAAATGGCTTAGATCAATGAAATTACGGGAACAGCGGTAGGTGTGGCGGTGCACTTGATCGGACGAGTACGTCGTCACGTACCGACATTATCATCACTAATCATTATGACATGGTTCGGGTTTCATTTAGATAACGGTCGTCACATTTAAACGCAATTTGATTACTGAATTATTGACGTGGTTTCCTATATCGGGCGGTGAAAAAAAAATAATAGCATACCTATATACACACTCGCAATATTATAATCGAGGCACAGTTCGGCTTTTAAAAACATTACCTTTGATAAAAAAAAAAATAAAAAGAGCCGATAATGCGGACGGAAGCGGGTCGTTTATGAAACAAGCAATAATAATACGGCGGTGAAAAATAATTATTATTGACACACGTCTTGCACATGTGTACATTAGTAACTATGCTATTTTCTTGTATTAACTAGACGCGTTTTATCTGCACTGTTAACTGTATTACATTATAATCGTTTTTATTTTATTTTCATTTTATTCGTTCAATACGTATAATATATTAAATATATATATATATAAAAAAAAAATAAAAAGAGCCGATAATGCGGACGGGTGCGACCACTGTTGTAGACTGGAAATTGGGTGGGTAGAGGGAGAATTTGATTTATATCCGTACGCAATCATTAAACGAAAAACGATTCTGAGCGGAACTCGGTCAATTTAGTATTATTGCTTTTTCAACAATTTAAGTTTTCGCGATACGATTGTTTAAAAAAAGATTAAATATCTAAAAAATTAATAATAACGAACAATAAATAAAAACGGTTGCCAATAACAACATCGTTCTTAATTTTTAAATGCGTTTTAATCAACCTAAAGAAACAGTATCAAATAAAGCCAAAACGCAACAAAAATAGGTTTCTTGTCGTGGTTTCGTTTGAGTAAATATTTATAGGAGAAAAGTTATGTACGGACAGAAAAAATGAAAGATAGTAAAACCAAGAGATTTAATAGAAATTATTTAAGCAGTTTATTCGTTAAAAGTGTTCGCATTCTAATTAGTGTTCTTTTAAAACGTAAAGAATGAATTTTTAAAAATATCCAAATCGCGATGATGATTACAATGGTTATATCTTTACTCTGATTAACGAACCGACTGTATTATAGTACAAAGTAAGTACTCGATTAGTGTTGAAAATTAAGAAAAAAATCTCGTTTGTCTTTAACAAACATAAAAAGAGAGTTGTATAATAAGAGAAAAAATTAAATCAACGAAAGTGCGATTTTTATCTTACTTTTGTTTCTGAATTGTATTTACCTTTTTTTTTTTTTAATTTTTTGTTTTCTTTAATCAACATCTGATTTTACTTGAGAATCCAAAATTATTAGTGAACTTGATACCGAGCAGTGTTTTTTTTTTCTTATGAGTAATAATACATTTTAACAGTAAAACATTGATCTTAAACCATATTGAATTACTATAAAAAATTAAATACATAAAAATTTGTCGAAAGAAAAAAAAAAAAGTCCATAAATTGAATTTAATTGATAATGAGTTTGTTTTTAACTTTATGAACACCTGTAAGCAGCAGATTCAGCATGATTCAATATAAGGTCGAATTTTTTTTCGACTATTTTGTGTTTTAGAAATAATATTAACTGCTGAACAGTAAAACTGCCGAATACTATAATAAATAATAATACAGTGTTATCTTTACATAAATACTCACAATATTTACACAAACAAAAAATAAAATAAATGGTAAAAATGGTATTGTTGATGGGTTGATAACAAAACCTCCAAATGAAAAAAAATGCTTGGTACTAACACCATGTGTATACGAATTGCATCCCTTGGATTCATTTGGGGATCTTTAAGGGTGGGCAAAGCTAAAAAATATTCGTTTCTTACAACAACATAATATCTTTGTCACCTCGATCGGCCTATAATTCCCGAGTTTGAGCACATTTGTTCCAGAGGGAACAACTAAAACTGACCAAAAGTAGCGAAGAATGATAAATATGTGTATAACGGACACAGTATAGTAGATATCTATATATTTGGAGAAATGTTATTAAAAAACAAACGACTGCACTTTCATATGAAATAAAAATTCGATTGCAAATAACTTATATACGTGGGTATAGCAAGTAATTTTACCATAATAAACAATTTTCAGAAATTATTCTACTGTATAATAAAGGCCGGTTTAGTCAATAACGATATGTCTTTTATTAAATCGAAAACCTTTTTCACGATACATTTTTAATATGTTTAATGGAACGCTTCCGGCTGTGCTAAACTGCAGATAAATATGTTTCCACCGTAAATCGAACAAAAATAAAAAATAACTCACATGAATACTCAATCCATATAGATACTATACATTTTAATTAATTTGAATAAGACTAAAGGCCCGTGAAAAATATCGCGGATAAATGCGCATGAGTTCAAAGTAATAGGCGTGTTAAAAAATTATAATTATTCAGTTATTCAGGTTTTTTGTTTTCTGTAAAACAAAAACCCAGTATAAATTATAAACTATCTCGTAATAAAAATTTTAATTAAACTCATATGAGTAAAAAATATTATAGATCTTTGGCGGTCGTTCGTTATCACAACGCCGTCATTATTACTAACGTTAATTACGTCAGTCTTAAAATAATATTTAAAAAAACTATAGCCAACGTTTGGAATCGGGAACAATGTCTCGAACAAGTGGCACCATCGCCGGACGATGGTGAAAATTTGTTTTTCTTTTAGCAATAAATTCAGTAAAAAATATCTAATATAATATTGTAAACAATTATTTCGTACTGTAATATTTTTCTACCGGTTTAGATTTAACGCAATAGGAGCTAGGCCACCATAAAAAGATAATGTATGAATTTATAGATGGAACGTTCCGGTTTGGAAAAAAAAAAATCTTTTTTTTTTCTGTACGCCCCGATAGTTTTATAGGTAACGAAAGCTTTTCTAGTAATTGGAAATCGGACGTGCATTACGTACTTTTAACGGGGTTTTATTTTTTTAATAGAAGCCATTAGTTTTGATAAAATTGTTCAAAAAGAAATCTACCGATAGTGGCGAAAGTTAGGACAAAGTCTATATTTCTATATTTATAATATAATTTAGTTTTAAAAATGTACAATCCGTGTGCTGCTTGACAACCTCGATTATCAACCAGATGTGACGCCCAATTATAGACGTCTGGTTTTAAATATTTATAACGTAAGGTAGAATAGAATATCATAATTATTATCCGATAATAGATGTCACCGTGATAAATATATCATATCAATGCAATTATAATTATAACGTGCGTTACTAATTCTATTTAATTATGAGTGATTTTCCATGTAACTGTATGATGGGCTGGTTGCAATCCTATTAAATGCATTTGAAATAAATAGTAAACGTTGAATTAAACAATCAATAAGCACGCAGAACGAAAAACAACAGCATAAAAACACCACATAATTATGATAACGAATTTACATCGTCTAGCGTACCATCTAGTTCAGGGGTTCCCAACCGTTTTATCATCGAGTACCGCCAGACACTTGTGTAATCAATACGCGTACCACCTCAATTCTAAAACTAAATTAGGAGTCAAATTTTTTTAGCGTATATTTTTATTATTCGTTCATTTCTTTACATTTTTATTAATTGATATTTATGAAAGTAAAAAAATCTTAATTTTTAGTAAAATCTAAATATTTAAATTTTAAATTACAAATTTTCAAATAAATAAAAAAAATAAATAATAAATATAAATAATAATACAATTAATGTGATATTTGTTGTTGTTTATTTTGTACGAGGACATTAATATCAGGCTGAATGGAACTAATTTCCACTCTTAAGTCACTTTGAATGTCGAGCCTACTTCTGTACTTATTTATCAAATACAGCAATTCAGAAAATCCACTCTCACACAAATAAGTAAAGACAAATGGAGTTAAACATTGTAAAACTTGCTCGAAAAGAGATGGGTATTCTATTTTTGTTGACATCCAAAATGAAACTAATGAAAATAATAATCTTATAAAATTAGCTAATATCAAATAAACTAAACCAAATAATATTGAATGCAAATAGTAATAAAAAAATTTCTTCAGGTACCACCTACGAGCCTTCCGCGTACCACGAGTTGGGAACCTCTGATCTAGTTAATTGATTGCCAATCTTATCCATCAGAAATCTGATTAGTAATCAAATTAACTGCATTTTTTGAGAAATATTGAAATCCATCGGACCGTTTATCTGATTAATAATTGATGTTGTCAATCAACACACGGAATGTAAATTATTTATAATATTTAAAAGAACAATAAAACGAATTTTTTTTGGTTAATTTATCATCGCGTAACTATATTAATCATAGAATTATATACATCAAGAAACAGATCCTAGACAAGAAGACCAAGGGAGACGCCGATAAGCGGGGAAAAAAGATACTAGTGTTATCGTTTGGATAATATTTGAAAATCCAATAAAATTATAAAATATTCATAGGACACGGTATTGCCGCGTTTGATTTTAATAGTATCTTGTGAGCAATAGAGCTCCGTCACTATAGAATCGAATAGAATCCCCCCCCCATCTTTTTTGTATTATAGAATCTATTATTTTTTAAAAAACAATAAATATTAAAATACTTTATGATGTACTACTACTACTACTGTTAAAAAAAAAAAATAAATAAATAAATAAATAAATAAAACCTAAGTATACGAGTGGAAGGGGGAAGTATGGGGGTTAAAAGTTGAAAACCCCTAAAAGCACATTCTTGATTCTAACCCCATGCATATATAACATTTTATCACACTCTATGATTTTATTTTGGAGTAAGGGGACTGTATAGGTGTGTTTAAAGCTGAAAAGATACCCACGGTGAAATTCATATTGAAATATTCAACTCGACTTTTATCACATCAATTCACCTATAATTCTCGAGTTTTAGCTCACTTGGTCCAGAGGGAGCAGCTAAGAGTATCTAAAAGTAGCGGGAAAAAATAAATACATAATACAGACACAATACAGTGTAATAGTCTCTTTTTATTTTCGGGAAACATGAGACAAAAAAAAAAGGTTCTTTTTGCACATTTTTTTTTATAATTATTATTTAAATTTAGGAAAATGTATTTGTCTCGAGGATTAAATAATTAAGATATACATGTATATATTTTTTTTTTTTAGAGAACCCGGCGTATTACTATTATATTTATCCGAGTCAACATTTTATTTAAAAAAATAAAATTAAACTACTATACGTACCAACAATAAAGGTTCTAATTGTGTATTTAAAAATCTAAAAATTCTTCACATGCGCTCATAATTAGTTTTATATTCTTTTTTTTCAAGTTAAATTTGAAAAACATCCTTAAACACACTGTGTGCAGACTATATGCATATAACTCTAGTATAAGCTCCGCTAAAAGCTCAGAGTCGTTTTACTCGAAACAGATGATTTATTATTGCTTTAAAATAAATAGCGTTAAAAATAAAACGCGCTATTTAAAAAAAAAAAAAAAAATATTTCAACCAAGGTGAGCCAAGTGAAACGATTCCAAACCCTCAGTCTGTATGTAGTGTATCCCTTCAGTTTTCGTCTCGTTTTTTTTTTTTTAATAATGAATTTTAAATTTAAAAAAATAAATCCATCCACGCAACGAAAAACGAAAAGCAAATTATAAATGGTAAAATTGTTTATACAGGTACAATGGTACGTAGTATATAAACGAACACAAAAGCGTTTTCAAGATAGAAAAAAAAAAAAACAGTCTAATCGTATAGTACCTGAACGTCATATTTCGATGAAAATGCCAAATTACCAACCGTATACAGGAATAGCCCGAACACTTGCTTACAATGAAATCTATAAAATCCAAATTACCATTAAGAACAATCGGACACATAGTTCGCACGATGGATGGGCCACTGTTGTAGCTGACAAGTTGGAAAGGTAGAGGGGAAATTTAATATATATCCGTACGCATCAATTAATCACTTCTAACGAAAAACGATTCCGAACGGAGTTCGGTTGTGCGTGGTTTGAAAGACCGTAATATTTACGATTTAAAAATAATATTGTACATTTTCCCGTTTTCCTTACGTTTTTTCCCGGTTTTTCCCATTTACCATGAAAACTCCCGGGGGAATAAAAAAATTACCCGCTCAAAGAACCACCTCGGTCAGGTTTCGTTTCAAAAAAATTACTATGCTTGAAAATCGGAGTGAAACCAATACATTACTCTCGCTCCACTCGGAACGTACACACATGGTACTGTTGTAAATGGGGAGTTGGGACTACTGGATGTATAAAATGATTAAATCTATTTACTGCATACTAAAATGAAACTTCAAATATATATAAATAACAAAGAAAAAAAAAAGAAAGATACCACGTCATATAAGATGAATTATGATGAATAAGAATACCTTTTTAGGGAATATATTTTCAGATCTCTACGAAGAGGTTTTATCGAATTACCTAAAGCAAAATCGTCATAAAATCGAAATTAAGATTATTGCGTAAATCTCCCGTTCTCTAACGTTATGCCTCCCCGTTTTAAAAAAAAAAAATAGAAAAAGTAATAATTAAAAAATACCTTCTTAATGTGCCGATTAGACAGTACTGTCTACTAGAAACCGGCCGGAGGCATACGCGAATTTGTGTTGCGGCGCGTTCGAGTCGTTCGAATATCAGTATATAAAAAAAATGTGAACGTAAAAACCTATACGCGCATTCAGAAGTCTTACACCACGGAATTTTTTTTATTTTCTCCGTCCTCGTTGTATTCCTTGTTTCGGATATTATTCCGCTGACGCGTATACCTACCGTTTATACAAGGCGATCGATTTATCGCGAACCACCGCGATTCGTTTTATAAATTACAATATGCAAGATGAACATTACGGTGGCCACGCTCGGTGTTCACAATATATATATGCATGGTTACAGAGGAGTGTAAAATTCTGTGTCTTTATTACATTTTTAACCGTGTACAATGCATTTGATTTTTTAAATAAAATGTTATTATTAAATAGATTTTGGTATTGGTATTTTTACTACAGGTGGCGGTTTGAAAATAAAAAAAATTTATAGTGGTTTCACCCTCTAAAAAAATGGCGAAAAAATAACTGTAATTTTACTTTGTGTATAACTTGTTTTTTTAATGTTCTAAAAAAAAAAAAATTCGAAATGCTAGGATTGCGCATTATACGATGGATCACGGGATCAGTGAAAATGATAATTATGATCGTATCGAGTGGAATGAACAGAAAAGAATCTTTAGTGATAGGAAGAAACACGGAATTCTATTTAAAATTTTAGGAGCATCCAAGTAGCCGTAGAGAACGGAAAATAAATTAATTTAAGGTCGGCATGAAGTATGACGGCAGGATGAAAGCGAAAAGGTACGTTTGATGTGGTCCGAATGAACGAGCTATCGTGGAAAGAATGGACTGTTCTGAAGATGCAAGTGGCGTGAAAGACGAATTTATTTTTGACAAGTTTTGAACACAACTGATCTTTAGTTACATAAGAACGCCAAATATTCGGTTACCATCATACCCACTGTAATATATGGAGCGCACTAATATTGAAAAATAAAGTATACATTTATAGGCAATGCTGGGCAGTTACTAGTTAACAAGGTAAAAGTTAAGTTAAAAATTACTATTATTTTTTTTTGTAATACATTTTAAAAATTAAAAAAAAAAAAATAGAACATTAGAATGTAGAATGGGAGATTGGCCGAGTGTGTTGCCTAGAAAACGACTTACTCAACGACGATTTCGAGGGTAGATTTTATTTTGTGTTTTCGTTTTTTTCAGAAGTTATTCAGGAATAGAATCGTTTCATGATCATTCTAACAATATAATAATGTGTTTTATTCGTATTAAAAAAAAAAAAAAAAAAAACATTATTTAGGATGATATCGGGAGAATTTCGAAATTACATTGCAAATAAAATCGATAAACTATTGTAATAAATAGTACAAGATCAAATTTACTAAAAATCTTTATAGGTACATAAGTATAAAACGCGATAAAAAAAATCTCCCCGTTTAGCGGTAAAATGATGAACCACAAAGGTTCGTAACAAAGTACAGATTTAACTCCGATTTTTTTTTTTGTATATGGTCAGCGAAGGAGATATTATACCCGACTGTAGTATTATATTATTCGTTTTAAAATTAATACTGTCTTAGCGGTGTAATATTATTTCCATTATTTTTCTCACACTATAACATATAAGTCGTCTTACACTTGATACTAAATGCATTATAATGTAACCAAACGAGAAAAATATTATCATAATAATCTAATTTTTTTTCACCATTTTTTTTTTTTCTTTAACTTTTTCACGTTTCGATTGTTTGAATCGCTGCAATAATACAGTTGTTGAATACAAAATTATATGGGAATGGTTTTAAATTTCAAAATGCCTAAAATTTAGGTCACAAAGGTAAAATTCATAATTTTTACAATACTATTGGACTAGATTTATTTTTAGTTTTTGTGGTGTTTTAATTTTTTCAATGGAAAATGTACCGTTTTATTTAAATGTTTTAATCGGATGTTGTTTTATTTACAGACAATTATTGTAATTCTAGTCCATCAATACATTTTTCGCGCTCTTCCAAATGACATTTCTAGGAAAATATACACTGCATTTTTTACACCTATACTATTTGAAAAATAAATACTATGTACCTATTTGTAATATTACTCAGCCTATAAGTTACATTGGTCAGTTATACGGCAACATAATTTGCAAAGTCAGGTGGTTTTTATTCGAGTCTTTTTTTTGTTTTTTAATACGTGATCGTTAAGTCTTCCGTAAGCTACTCGTTATTCCGAAAAACATACCAATTACAGTATTCGAGATTTAAAATTTGTAGAAATATTATTATAATTAAAAAATATTTGTTTCTTTAATACTAGGCGACGATGAATTATTGATTTTCAAATTTCAACACGTTATATTTATCGCTAAACGTAATTTAACAACTCACCGCACAGAATCTGTACAGTTAAAACTTCATGTTTTAATATTAGCGTTGGTTTCGCAGTAGATATTTGTGGTTTTCTACATAATATACGACTCACTAACCCCTACTACCTCCCTTTCTCTCTTTCATGGATTTTATAACAAAACAAATCAGCATCATATGATTATTATTCTTATTGTAGTCGAGGAACGTAACTATAACTATATAGGAACGTCTGCGTATTAAAATACAGGGTGATCACGTAAGACACGCTTTATCTCAATAAGTATGAATTTTTATTAGAATTTGTATTTCACAACATTCGAAAAATAAACAGCTCTAAAACCTTACGTTGTACATTTATTTTTTGTAATCATTATTATTAAAGGTGAAACCATTACCCAGTTTTTTTGATTTTCAAATAGCGACCTATTCGGATATTAGTAGTGTGCATATCAAAATGTTTAGTAAAAATATTCTCTTTTCGAATCTACCCGTGCTTAGGGAAATGAAGGGGTCCTATTTGAAAATAAAAAGGGTATACCCGTTAAATGCGCAATAGGCGTAACGTAAAGTATAAAAAATTTCATATTGATTGGGCAAAAAACAGATTCAAACAAATTCACACAAAAACCTCCGAGAAAATCTTCGGTAGATTATGACAAATGAATCGCTCTGTATATTTTTACTATATCATTATTTCCAATTTCGTCTCCGTTCGAGACCGTGTATTTTCTTTATAGATGATGTTTATTGCGCGGTCGGTTTCCACCGATACTGAGCCCAGCGGCGGCGTCACATCCACATCCACATAATATACATATTATTATACTTTTGACTTTGTATATACCGGATTCAGGTAAGCGCACTACTGTGTACGGTGTACAGTGTACAACATCAAAGGCGGTCGACGCGTATATAATTTCTCGAGTTATTTCCATTATTGTAATGCACGACGACCCGAAACGTAATAGGATTATTCGAATTTGATTTCGAATGGCATATCGATATAATAATATTATAATACTTTACTTAATATCTACGGAATTAAATTAAATTTTAATTAAGTTAGTACACTTACACAGATATTATTTTACAAACGAGCGAATGACGGACTCGATAAGTAAATCTGCCGAGCTTGGCAGTTAATACGTTTATATAAATAAATACGTTTATCATCAAGAGGGAACAGTTGTATCGGTTATACCGTGAAATATCGACTGTTTATGCGTCAGTAAATTATGCGCTTATCACTCGTGTATTATCTATGTATAAATATATATATATATATACATATGGATTGGAGTATTTTTACCGAACAAGCCGTGTTTTCCGAGATTAAAAAAACACACCACATAAAAACTAAGCATTACTTTACCGTTCTCAGGATTCTTAAAAAAAAAAAAACAAAAAACACCAATTACCTTTACGCCGCCACATATTTAATACAATCGAATAATACAGTAGACAGACGGATAGACTTGTGATGGTCAGTAGGTATACAACTTACTGTCGACTTGTTGATTGATTCGAAAATCGCCATCAATAATAAATCGTAGCGATTCCATAAAACGTGCACGTGCATAATTGATAGCATGGGCATATTTTGTTTGTTTTATAATTATTTTTAAAACGTGTCGATATTAATCAAACAGATTTCTTCGACATTACAAATATATCATTATAATATGTTTTGTTAGATAACACCACATAAGATTCATCATATGACATTATTCAGGCTGAGACATTTTACCAATAAAAACATATTATTGCGACTTTATTGATACGATAAAAATACTGTTACAATATAGAATCCCTATCAATAAAAAAAAAAAAAAACATTAAAACGTTAAAAAAATTATCTGTAGTATAAATGTCTAGTGTAACACGATTGCCGGATATTTTCTATGCGTAACGAGTGAGTATTTGACATTTTAACGCGTATTCGAGCGAGCATAGTACGGATTTTTGTAAATTCTAAGCGAAACGAGAGGATTGGTCTTATTACGATTTTTATTTTTATTACACATATACAATCTATAAAAAACGCCTATCAATAAAATGATCTTTTTTTTTTTCGTTTTCACGGCAGTGTTAGAAAATGTTCAAAGTGAATTATTTCACACAGCAACCGCAATGATAAATAAAATAGATCAATTTAACCAAAAACGACCCAAAGACTCAAAGACGAGAGCGGTTATCGAGATGAGAAAAATAATATCCCTATAATGGTAATACGCTGAAATAGTCTACTTACTCGGTCTACACGTAGGCGTGTTATTATACATATACCATTCGTTTATATAGTCCAAAAGTGGTAAATTCCATTTTTATATGAAACAACAATCAGGTAGGAAATTCGTGAGTTAAAGGTAACGCCGCGGCTGTGGCTTTGTCTTCTGTAATTATGAATAGTTAAAATGCGCGTTGCATTATGTAAATGATTTCCGAACAATGATGTTACTTTTATGCAAAACAGTTAGGCACTAGATACTGTAGTGCGCGTGTGTGTGTGTATTTATATAATATATACGAATGCGCGATTAGTGTAACATTATAAAATAATTAATTATTGAAATTACCCACACACGCGAATATATGAATAACACGGTAAATAAATAATACTGTCTAATGATAACGATATTATGGTAAGTGCAAAACACGCGCATTGATAAATCGTCGAAAATCCGATATTGAACGTGTCGTCAAGAACACTCCTGGTAACAATATGGTATAGCGATGGGAAAGATCCGAATTGTCCGCGTTCGAGACACGAAATTCATTATAAATCCGGGATTCGTAAAAACTTTGATTTTTGATTATTTGAATGGTTTTTATATTTTTTTTTTTTTTTTTTGCTTTAATAGCGGTGAAAAAAGGTAATCGAGACGTTTGATATTTATGTACGAACGATACTCGTCTCAAAAACTATAACCGTTAATTGTTTGACAAAACATGTTTTCTAATCCAAGTAGGCAGAACAATTAATACGAGGAGAATCTTATAAAATTAAAATCAGAAACCCGAGTTATTATTTATGTAAAACTCCACGGACACTGCGGGAGGCGGCGACGGTTTTATAAATAACTTTAATATTTCGAAACGATTACCATATTTTATTATACACTCGGAAACCAATTCCGAGCGCGGCTCGCCAATTAATTACAATGTTCGAGTCGTTTTACAAATTGTCTCTAAGTGCTCGTGAAAAAAAATAAAATACCCCGCAACGAAAGATATTTAAATTAATTACGGTCGTCGGATACCCTGCACTGCGATAATTTTTAAGGAGCAGTGCGTATTGTGTAGACGATTAATTGTTACGTTTATTTCGGTCGCTATAGTGTGTATTACTATTGCACGGTGTAGTTAGAACGGAAGTTATTGTGCGAGCCAACCCTATCTGCAGCGATTAACCTTAATTGGACCGCGATAAGAAAACGCAAATGCTACTTTAGAGACCCCGAAAAAAAAAAAAAAAAACCCCTCCGTCATCATATGGACTAAATACGCGTGAGCAGCGGAGTTCCGTCACTAGAGTTGATTTTATCCCAGTCGACTTATCCACCATCAATAAAACGTTTCGTTTTTAAATAACTAATCGAAAAAAATTACGGTAGCCAGAGTTGTAGGGTCAGTTGAAACCCGGTAAGTCCCGTAGAGTCTTCAAATTTAAAATTTATAACAGTTAGGAAGACAATTGAAAGAAAAAAACCCCCCCGACGATACACCGTGTTTACATCGCCTGTGTAAAAATTTTCGACCCCCGATTGATATGCTGGGTCTAGAGGAGTGTACAAAGCTAAACAAATATTTTCCGCTCCCAATAACGACACGGTAAAGTTCATATTGAAATTCGACCGAAACGTTATCAATACAAACCGTCCTTAAAACAACTCCTAACAGAGAAAACCGATAAAAATTCCCAAAAAACCGAAACGTTTATTTTATTATTATTACTATTTTTTTTTTTTATGTATATTACAGACACAAAACAGTAAAATAATTTCTGTTTTCGGGAAAAATCGACGAAAAATAATACGCCTGGCCCGCGTTTAACCTGCAGACGACAAAAATATCACGGTTTCGTATATTATGTTTTGTATATCCATTGGTCTTCGAGGCTATAATAACATAACTATTCATCGTAGACTAAACATTACGACGTAAAATGGCGGTTAAATATAGTTTCCGTACTTGGAATACTCGAAATCTTTTTTTTATTTTTACTATCGATAATCATAATTCAGTACATTTTTACAATAAAACGGTAATAAAATTATTGTATTACACGATCTAATCGGTCGGCCTTTGGGAAATATTACTGCGGCCTGTATAATAATATTATAATACGGTAACCTACCGTGTGCACAATAATATCATACCGTACCGGGAAATAAATAAATACGATTTTCATGTCCTTTTTCGGTCGGGACACGACTGAACACGTACTTATCGTAAAAACGGACAAGACTTAAATTATAGGAAATCCGAAAATACGAGCCGGGTACAGTCGATTTTTATAAACGCCGCTACATTAAAGTAGATTTTCCGAGTCGGGTCAAATCGAAAGTATAGCGGACACAATTAATCGAAAAATAATAAAAATAAAATAGCAAATTCAATTTTGAATTTAACTCGTTCGCATCCGCGGCGAGTTTTGTTCCGTTTAAGGTGGTTTTCTCAACGGAGAAAACACGATTATTTTCAGACGTACTTACAATAATGATATTATGTTTCGGCAATTATTTGTCAATGGCTTATTTTTGTTTTTCCGAGTTTCAAACACGGCGCTGTCGGAACGATACGGTTTAAATAATAATTCCGCGTGAGATTTAATGCACTTCTCGTTTCTTTCGACGTAATGATAATATGTAGCACATTTAAAACGGATTTCCGCTTTCGATTTCAATTTGCGTGTATACCGACATAACTCAAAAAGTCAAAAGCAACTCTCAGAAATAGGCACTTTTATAAACAGTTTTAAACATACAAATCAAAACGGAATTGAAGTAGAATAGGAGTGTCCGACCGTATATAGGTTATGAGATATTTAAATGCATAAAATTGCTTCAATTGTATTGAAATAAATGTGAAAGTTTTGTCGATTCGGCAATATTAATATAAACATCGTTGTAGTAATTCGAAGTAAAGATAATGATAACTGCTTGTATTTATATAGAAACTTCAAACTTAAAACCAATTATTTGCTTAAACATTTTATAAAGTATATTTTCGTCGAGATATTATTTATTCCCAATAAAATAATTATTGGTTTTAGTTTGAAACTTTTTGAAATTCAAACAAAACACGGTAATCACAATAATAATAATGATATTATTTTATTTCAAATATATATGATGTTTTCGAAATATCGCACAAATTATTATATTCTTATAAGAGTATTTTTGGTTTTATAATGATGTTTATTTTATTGTTTTTTTTTCTTTTATCTGTGAACAATTACCAGTAATTTCACTCTAATTTTCAAGTGTAGCACTTTTTCTGAAAGAAAATGTAACTGCGGTGGTATTTAAGAAGGTTATTTTTTGATTTTTTTCAAAACTTTACATAATAAATAGAAAAACCGAGACACTTTACGAAACGTATTATTTTCGAATCGTAAATGTTACAGCATTTCAAAACATGTAAAACATGTACGACCGAAATCTGCTCAGAATTGTTTTTCATTAGCAATGATTAATCGTTGTGAACATACATATATTATAATTCTCCTTTACCTTCCGAACTTCTCAGTTACAACATTGTTTTATTTTTTTTTTTTTTTTTTTACAAACTTTTATACGTTTGAAATATTTCGCGAAATTTGACAATGCAGTGAATAATGTTTCAATCTTATAGTGTTTTTCGTTATTTTGCTTTGGTGTGTTTTAGATTAAATTATAATTGTATAAATACGAAGACCATCATAATATATCATTATATTTATTAGAGTTGGTACTTTGAAATCATGTTTAGTGGAGTACTCGAAAATTGTCGAACGGTTGAAAATTGTACAAATGCTCGAATATTATAATCACTATAAAGTGGCTGCAGGTGAACAATGAGTATTGTATGCGGTTACTAGTAGGCAATAGAATACTGGAAAACAATGAACACAAACACCGTTATCAAATACAATACTAAAAAACAAAACAATAACGATATATTTTTGTAAATTCAAACCGTTGTTAGTTATTAATTATTACCGGAAAATGCCGTAGAGGTATACCCAGTTTTTGAAAAAAAAAAAAAATGTTTTTGAATAAAACAGTCGGGTATTCGAGTGAACTCAAGTACTCAGGCCCATATCGAATTATGTCGAATACAAATTGATATTCACTTGAACAGATGATGTTAATAGTTAGAAAAACTATATAGTAAAAAATGTGCCTTTTTTTTTTATCTTCATATATAATACAATAACCGTAAATGTATAGGTATTGATAAATTGAGTTTAAAATTGTATTTAAGTACCCAGTAACAGTTTAATACATTTCAAACATTTTGATTTCACGCGAAAAACACAAATCAATTGAAACTCGGGATGTATAGAAAATAATTATATTATACGCGAAGATAAAAATTATTATTCCAGAGATATATTATTATTTATTTATTTTTTTTTTTTCAATAATTGTTCTCGGTGCATTTTTTTTCCCCTATGCAATTCAATTGATACAATTCGCAATAATATCCGTTGGGAATGGAAATTTTAATTTTGCGTTCCACGTAGCTGAAAATATCGCCTCTCATATAATATCGTTTTCGAAAAATAACTTTTCGAATTCGAAAAATTGCCTCTCCTCTTTTCTTTTCTTTTTTTTTTTTCTTTCCGCATTGTATTCACCGACCGAGTACAATAATATACAAAACGCGAAACAAGACGAGCGCTATAACGTTCGCCGATTTTCGTACTTTACGAATATATACGGACACTTTGCTGCAGTAGGTGCCATTACTGCCGCCGCCCGACACTAGAAATATTGAATTTTCACTAAACGAAATTTTAAATTACGTTAATGCGTTATTATTACTATTGTAATAACATTATTATAATGTCGCGCGGCGCAGATTTTATTATTGTTTCAAGAGACGACGCTACGTTCGCGCGGCACCCTCGCGCTCCGCGTGTATATTTTTATCGCATTTCTTTTTAATAAAATCGTAATACCTTAGTATTGTTTACGGGGGCAGACGCACTCGCTGTGCTCATCCCTTATCCACAAAAAGCCGATTGTTCTACATTGAGTTTCTCTGTTTTAGTCGGAATTGTGTATTTATTCCGTATACTACCGCGGGATCGTGTTTCTCGTCGGCAATTGGGTTAATGTTCATCATCGGTTCTCTTTTTACAACCGGCTGCGTGTACATATATATATATATATATACACGCACGCGCGCAAAATTTTTTTTTCCATTTCACTTCGTTTTTTAAGATTATCCGTTTTCCATTCAATTACTTTACAGAAGAACACCGCCGAGATAGTGCGATATACGAGTACCTGTGTAGTACGTATATAGTGAAAAAGAAAGAAAAACGACCGGTTATTTGTACCAATATATATTTATATACAGACACATACACTCGGATGAGAACGATGAGAGGACCACTGACGAGTAGAACTATTTGAATGCATGCAATAGAATAACGAGAGTAAACTCTAAAGGTAGGTATAAGTATATTGCATTTTCAATTCGACTTGACCCGAGCGATGAAAGGAATATCTAAACGTTCCACGACAAATAGTTTTAAGAAGTTTTTAGCGTATAGAAAAAAAAAAAAAAAAAAAAAGAAGTTTTAAAACTATTATTATCGGTATAATATAGTACGAGTATACATTATTGTCTGTAATATAATTTACCGCGACGTTGGCAAATATCGGAAAGATTTACACGTATACGACGACCCGTGTATATTCAATTTTTTTCTTTTTTTTTTTTATAAAATCGCTTGTTCCACGTTAAACAATATCTTACCGGTCTGGTTTTCAATCCGTCGGAACACCGGTTCGATAGTCATGGGACGTTATTTTCAGTGGTTTCGTTAAAGTCTCGAGATCGTCAGCTTATGCGTGTAGTGCGCGTGTATCGTGTGCATGCCATGTAGAATATTATTGTTTATAATTGATAAATTTTATCGATCCATCGCCTGGCGTCTCGGCCACGTTTGTTGTTTGTCCGGCGAACGCATCGCGAGGCAATCGGATGTTTAAAATTTTACGAGACCATCGAAATCCGTCGGATCGCTAATCCGACGGATCAAAATGTAACGAGGCACTATACGCGCGCACAGTTAGTAGTTACCGAACAATTGCTACAAGATACATCGACTTGATAGGAGTAAATAAAAACCGCATCAACTCTCCTATAGACATTTAAACGGATGTACTTGTTCTAACGGTAAAAATAAAAATAGTCTCAGATAGTAAACTTATTGATACAATTATTGTACTTCGGCGTTTGGCCATCGAGGCGATATTGGGTATCGCGCGGTGACTGCGAAAATAAAAATGATCGAATATTATAACGGGGTTTTTATTTATTTTTTTATCTCGTTTATTCCAGATAGCGGGCGTACACAGCGATTACGATTTTTCGGCGTTTATTTTTATTTGCCATACACGGCGAGAGTATTTTATTGTCAATTGTGTTATTGAGAGATAATATTTTTACGGAGCTTCGACCGTGTCGTCTGCGCGCGGAGTGGCGAAAATGCGGCTTACGTGGTTTTTAATACCGCAGTGATTTCGAACGGTTGTGCGCGTAATAACCTGTCGGATATATTATATTGGTTGTTTCAGAAATTTAATGTCGCCGGACGGATATTTTACCGGATTGCTCCGAACGAGAGCGAACATTCCGTTACCGTGTATTACGCGGGTTCGTCCATATCGTAATTATAGTATAGGCATTGTAAAAACGCGAACAGAAATTTTTATTGACAGTCGAAATTCGACTGTGCAGACAACGCCGATGTCGTTTATGGCTCGGGGACTCCCTTATACCAGGGGTCGGCAACCTGCGGCTCTTTCGGTCTAAAGTTGCGGCTCTCCAGCCGCACACACAAAAATTAATATTTTAGTTCAAAAACAATATTTTATAATATAAAAAAAAAAAAAGTATATTATTTTTGTTGCTTTTGGAAATGTGAAATAATACATCACAAAAATAATTGGACAGTGCTCGCATGGAGTACAGTCTATAGTTTGTAAAATGTTTATTATAGAGTCTAATATAATCGCCACGCTATCTACAACTAATTGGTCATACGCCGTCACGCCAAGACATGCAGAGCCAATGCTCCCATTGATGTATTCCCCTATTTTTAAAAACTGTTTTTTTTTTTTTTTTTTTTATCATAAATTTATTATATCATTATAATTTATTTCGTTATTGTTATGTCTGTTAAAATTTAAAAATAAAATTATATTTAAATACTTAAGAACATTTTTAGCGGCTCTTTAAAATCTGGAAAATTTTGCACATCGTAACTTTTGGCTCTTCCGTCAAAAAAGGTTGCCGACCCCTGCCTTATACTAATTGAACACATCGCGATATTATGGCGTGACGTGTTTTATCTTTTGAAACATACGGTCATCGTGCATCGTTTCTCGAAAGAGCGCGCCGGTGCGCATGTGCGGTACGCCGCAATCATATCGTATTGTTGTACGCGGGTCCGCGATAACGCGGGAAACGCTACGCGCCGCCGCCGAACATGACGTTCTCGTTTTTATCGCGACGAAATATTGCGCTGCTCAGCGCTCGCGTTATCACGAGCGTGCGACTCGGTTTAACATTTTAGACCGTACGAATCGTTAACCGATTCGATGTAAAACATCAATATTTTCGATATTTTTAATAAATATATATATTTATTTATATTGTACAAGTTATAGATTCGGCTTCTGGACCCCCACACGAGAATCTCAGTGCGGCCCGGTATTCATGTTTCTGAGAAATAGACAAACGATAATAATAATAATAATTATTATTATTATTAACACTTTTATCACGATCGAAATTGGTTTGCGAACTATTTCAATCGGTGTAACGACATTATCGGAATATCAATTGTGGATTGAAAATGTGGCCTGATGGGCCGGTAAAAACAATCCGTGTACTGCCCATCAGACTCTATGGTCAGCCGGATTATAAATCGCATGCACCCATTTCGATGGTGCTCGAAAATCGTATACCCACATGTCTGATTGCCAATATGATTTACTCTCGGTGCATCGGACGGACAACCGACAAACATGGCTGGACCATTAGTGCGTGAGACGACGGAATCGATAACCGATCCGGAGTTTATCGGATTGAAAACGACACGGGGTAAATTTTTTAAGGATTTAGTAATAATTTAATATTATCGTTATCGTAAAAACGATAATCAATGAGAGCATAGTATTCAACTGCAGTGATTTCGCGTACGGTCCGGATATCACAGAGCTCTCCCCTTATTACGGTACAATAAACTACCGTCGGAGTACGGAATTCGAGTTTCATCAAATTTAGATACATTAGTATTTGCGCGTAAAATATTTCGCTATTTTCGGAGTGCGTCGGCGAAAAAATTCCGATAACGCTTCGCGGATTACCTACCTGTAATGTTACAAAAATTCGTACGGATATTTTTTTTTTCTTTTGCTGTCCAGTAACGTAAACCTAGACAGAATCACGGTTATCTTCGCGAAAACGACCGTGTATCGGTTGTATATTACAAATATGGAGCTCGCGGTTAAGAGATAGGGTGATCGTCGTCGGAACGGAATAAAATATGTTTACCATTCGCAATAATATATACGTTTTAAGATAACCGTGGTGTATACGATCGGAAGCAGCGGGATCGTTCGAGTTCTGCGGCTGGATATAATCTAATTTCGATATATCTGATAAGAAAATGTACCTACGAGAATGTCCGAGAAGTCAGATCCGATCTGCGAAAATACGTAGGCTCATGCGTATGCATAAAAATGGTTTATTTGACGTTAAATTGAATTTTTCGCATTTACGGTCACTTCGGGTACTTACCACCGTCGTTTATATTAAGGTATTTGATATTTATGTTTTTTTTTTCTTCGAAATTTTCATAGGAAATAAAATTTGAAAAAAATATTCCGTTTCCATCGATAATTTCAATGCGTTGCTCGAATTGTGAGGGAGGGGTAGTGTTTATGTAGGAGACGGGGATCATCTACTACTATTTATTTTAGATTCGGAGCGTAGCGAGAGATCTACTAGTTTTATTACGATGTGTGTGGTTTTTTTATTATTATTTTACTCATTATTTCTATTGAGACAAAGGAACTGTCCCTATATCTATTTTGAAAAGAAATAAATATTTTCAAAAAATCATCAACTTGAATGAAATGAATTGCAATATTTTTTTATCATTCAACTGTGAATGGAAAATTATTATCATATCTGTACTGCATTAGTATATATGGTTCGAAATCGAAATATTAACTTTATTTATTTCACTGTAAATTATTAGTGGTCGATTGTTTGCGTGGTGGTTGTTCAAATAAATTACGGGAGCGACAAGACCCCTATGAGTTAGGTCGAATTAAATCATTAAAACAGGGATGGTAATTTTTTTTTTCAAGTCTCTGCAGTGTCCCTTTGATATTATTTTTCCGGCACGAGCACTGCTTACAGGTTAGTTCACTTTGCAATTTTTCAACATTATATACACATTTTAAAACACAACGGCTTGAGGATATTATATTAAGTTGAAAATATAAATCGCATTAAAAAGAAAAAAAAAAAATAATAATAATAATGATAATAAAAATACAGCTTTCGCGTCTTGGATCATCATAAAGGTCGTGAGCCCGTGTTTATTATTATTTTCAACGTAATGATAAACCATTCAATTTAAAATGGAAAAAACGATTTCGTGTTGAACTTGGGAGTAAAGTTTTATCGCATACATTATATTTTCTTCTCGTTTTTTCCCTCGGTTTTTGTGGGCGTTAAACCGAAAAATTCGAAATATTATTTGTCTAATGTACCGTCCCCGTGTTTACTCATACTTATATCGAAAAAGTTCACGAATGAAACTTTGTATAGACGCATTTTTACATCCTTAAAAAGTGTTTTTCGAGACAAAAACGCATTATTGTAAAGCGAATAGCTTCTTCTGCACTCTGTTTATAATAATATAATCTCAACGTGAAAAATCCAAAAAAAAAAAAAAAAACCCATTCAGACACAAAATTATATTAAATAAATACGTTTATTTTTCTTATAGGAGTGCAGAGAAAGTAAAGCTACTTTAAATTATAAATTAAAAATAAATTATACGCTCGCAAGGTTCGGAAAAATTAGTTCCGTTAAACAAATAAAATAGTTATATTTATTGAAAACTATTAAAATTAAAAAAAAAAAAAGCACAGCAAATGTTGTTCAACTACTTTTAACAAGTACATATGCATTAGTGATTTAAACAGTGTTCAAAATAAGTTTAAATTAATATAATTGTATTTTTTTTAACATTTTAGAAAGCAATCTATTAATGTCTACTTAATTATTATTATAATTTAAATATAAATTATATTTAGTTAAGTTATTAATGTTATTCTTAACTATTTATAAATATGTATTATATAAAGATTTTTCTACGGTTTTTTAAATTGTTTTCTTCTTATTTTTAATATTAAACAAAAAAAAACTCATTAGCAAATAGCGATTCATTTTTAAATATTAATACTAATGAATTATCATTATTATTATTATTTTTTTTTTTTAAGGAAGAGGGGCACGGGTATTCAAATGAAAAATGATACAGTAAAACCATAATAGTATAATATTCCACTATACATAAATCAATTCCGATTAAATAGATAACACAATATATTTTTTTTTAGATTCTGAGTGAGTAATGTATTCGTTTTACTATGCAACTCACTTATTATTCAGATTCTGAGCGCGTTTTTTTATTTTTTTTAAATATCTTGTTCTAATCAAAAAACTACCTGAAACATTTCTGCTGCATATCAGGTCTAAATGGTGCAGTATAATTGTGTACGATTTTACTATCTTGTTTTTTGATATTGGGTTAAATAACTTGAAAATTTAAGATGAAGTTCATTGCAAATTGTACTTAAATAAAATTGACCTTTACGGCATTTCAAAACATATTTACCCGAACTTTATTCACAATTGTGTTTTGTAAAAACAATATAATATAATATAACGTTGAGTATAGACATAGATGAAATAACTATATTGATTGGGACTTGCAAGTTTTCCATCGAAAATAGTGGCACACCAATTAGCAGTATACTTTTTTTTATTTTTTTTTTGTTAGTTTATTAATTTACCGATTCAATACACATTTTTTTTCGGATAAGTGATTTTTTTACTGAATTGTTAATGTGTTTTCTTATACGGTGTGAAAAAATAAAACCTTCCTATATAAACACATCACGAACAGGTTTTTAAAAAATATTAGTTTTAATAATTCACCGGGGCCGCGCAAATCAAACAAACCAAGTATTTGCTAAACAAACCTCGTATAGATATACCTATAAACATACAAATGTACCTAGTTTAAAAAAAAAAAAAATTTATAATATGACGGTTGAAAAAAGAATTGTTTCTTATTTATAATTATTACCGAAATACTTTTACGTGTAGCAAAATATAATTTTTTTTTTACCTGAACTCGTTCTGTCGCGTATACTGAAATCTACGCCATTACCTATATTATATCATACTTTCAGGATATTTTTAAATTCTAAACGAAGCAAGGAATGCATTGGTTTTGGCTATGGTATATAAGTGAATAAATCTTTAAATAATACTACTTAGGACATTCATGAATCTGGAAGCATTTTTAAACTACTTAGTCAGTTATTGCATTTGAGTGGTAATTTTAGTAATATTCTTAATACAAGGGAAAACTTGTATAATTTTTATGAATTTCTTGGTTACCTTTCAGTAACAAGGGAGAAATTACGATCTATATTAATCCACTCAGAATCGTTTTCATTATGTACAGACGTAAGTTTATTACGTGTCAAAATAATATTTTGTGCTTACCTTACCATAAAAATTTACTCTTTGGTTGTTTCTGAAATGTTTCGCTTAACTTATATTATCTTGTGTACTGTATAATATACTATTATAACTATGAATATAATTTGCGTTTTAAAATTCAACGTTATAAATCTCTAAGCTCCGTTTTAAATGTATTTTCATATTTTAACAGTTTTTTTTTTCTTATGAATAATCGTATTATTTTATTAAAAATCTTACAACTGTATTTTTGTTTTTTTTTTATTATTATTATATTTTTTTTTTGTACCATTTTAAATCTTGTTGGTTGTAATTTTATGATTTACTTTGTAATTTGTCATTTTCTTAAGAAATTGAAAGAACTGACCAGCTTTTGTAAATGATTACCAGTTATTGTTGTTGATTTTTGGGTTACCTCGGCAACAAAGGAAAAAAAAAATTATTAAAAGTACTCTGTTCAAAATCGTTATTTCTAAGCAGAAGTTTATCTTTTCGGACAGATATGTAACTTATTTACTTTTTACATTTTTCGTTCCTATTTCACTTCTAAAAAAATGGCAAACCGATCGGCAATATCAAGTAATAAAAACTATAATCGATTTTAAAAGTACGGAAAAAACCCGTCGTTTCCTAATCGATATTATACTATACTGCAGTGTAAACGAGAAAAGTATTTAAGTAGAATCCACATTATGTACTAAATAATTTAAAACTTCAATCGAAAAAATTAAAATATTACGAATTCCGAGAATTTGAAAACGTTCGCACAGAGTAATTATATTATGCATATTATTTTTTTAGTTTCAAAATATTTAGACGCTTTTGTTTTGCAGATTGACATGACCACCACGGACGGTAAAAGCTCTTTATATTTTTATCCCGTCTATATAATTTATATATAAATAATATATTTATGTATTCGAGATATAGTTAAAATATAATATATTGTGGCTCCCAAAGGCCGACCCTGCGAAATACAATATGCATGAGAAGGAGGGTTGTTTTTATTTTTTTTTTTTTTTTGGATTCCGAGAACATAGGATTTAAAGATCTTATTGATTTTATAACGACGCGCCTTTTTTACTTTCAATATATGTTTCTCGTGGATGTAAATGTTTTCGTGAATACTATCATGTGACTACCATTATTACACTACATTTAGGTACTCCCATAAATTAATATCCGGTAAGATGAGATATTCTTTCAATCTGTATGATGATAACGAAAATCTAAACTCTTTTCACGGTTTCTCTTCGTTGAGAACTGTTAAAAAATCATTAATAAAAATAATCGTATCTGGACCGTACAACTTTGGTGCATTGCTAAACGATAAGATTTTAAAAAATATACTTTTTCCTATAGTTGTACATTTAAATTGTCGATATTATTAAAATGGAAATAATTGACATAATTGCTGGACGTTTAACATTCGGATTCTAAGGGTGGCGAGAAACATATTAGAATTTTATTCAAATGTGTTTTACCATCTGTAAACAGCTTTTATACTGAAAATTGTTATAATACTACTACAACTTGGAGCAATTTCTGGTGGCTAATTGTGTCTAGTTGATGTAACGGAGACAATATTTTTGTCGTTTACCCTTGTACTCTTTGAACGGTTAATATTGTAATATTATTTCATTTGATTCTCTGTAATGAGTTACTGACTTGTACTATACGTATGATTTAAAGGGTATAAATTTACTAAAAGAGACTAACGTTAAATTCGGTCGGACAAAATTAATTTTAATGTACTAATAGATTAAAATGTATTTATATTTTTGGGTATTTTATAATGAATATTTTTTGCGAAATTGAGTACGTGCAGTACATAAATGGTTATGTTTCTCAAATACTAAATACAGCGTATACCTACGGTACGGGGTAAAAAATAAGAAAACAAAATTAAAATAAACCCTATTGTAGATTTCCAATCAATTTTTAAATCGTTGAGATACTTTCTTAAATTAATATTGTTTTTTTTTTCTTCCTATAAACGAGAGTAATATTGCGAACGGAGAAATAAATAAAATAATATTTTATTTATTGGAAATTCTATTTGAAAAAACCTTCGAAAATACAACTGTGTACTGTTTACACAGTATAGGAGTTTATACGGAAATCAATACGTTTTACCGGAGGTTTTGTTTTGGAGGAAAAAAATTTTAAAAATTAAAAATTAATATTTTTAAAGAGTCACCGACGCGGATATCTGTTATCGTTTTTGTAATTACACGAGGATTACTCTGAAGTTGTTTTTTATTTTTTTTTTTCAAATATATTGCCGGCGTTATACATAGGCAATCTCACTACGGGTCGGCATTGCGTTTTCCACCGACCTCGGGGATCATTATTAATATTATAAATAACTATTATTATTAATATTCCGTTTAAATAATACATTTGAAGATCCGTTCGTAAAATTCCGTTCATTACAACGGCACTCGTTTGGATTTCGAACAGTTAAAATATTTTTTTTTTAATATATTTTAAACAATAATATTAACGTGTCATTCATAGTATATTATACGCTCGTGTCCGAACTATGCGAGATAATAACAACCGTGTTGATCGAGGAAAAAAAAAAATTGTTTTATTAGATTACCGTATAGTTTTTAGAGTTTGTTCATAATCGTTCGATACAATAAACGTAGCATTTTTAGGTGCATAATAAAGTTTATGGTCGTTTCGACTCTACCGAAGAAAAGACAATATACATTCCGTAAGGTTAGAATCTGAATTAAATCAAACTATTCTGCTGTATACAAATCAATGTTCCTTCGTTGATTCGTCGTGATCTATAAACACAAATCTACCTAGATTTCCGCTAAAAAAAAAAAAAATTGCACGAAAAATTAAAAATCGTTGAAAATCCGGAAAAGCCGATCACGTGTATACTTTACGTTGATTGTGTTTTCAGAACTCTCATCGCTTCACTTCATAGATTTCTTTCGGATGGCCCCTGATGATTCGAAAACCATTGGTATAACTGGTAAAAAAAAAAAACAAATTTTGTTCGCATAGTTATATCCTGTACATACACGGACAAATTGGGTTGTGTGTTTTGCTATGTACGTACTTACTGCAGTATAAATTATAAGCACGTGTGTAATCGAAAAACCTAAAAAAAAAAAAAAAAAAAAAAAAAAACTCCCTCGTAAGTATATATTAGTATATTGTATTTTTGTAATCATTAATTTATATGGAAAGCTTCGGGCGCGTTTGATAATAATATATTACCGCAGTAAAAAACACAATTTGGCAGCGTACCAAACGTGTTAAAGAATTTGTATAATATTTGAAATATTCTGAAAAAAAAAAAAAAAAATAGAAACACAAACAACACCTGTCAGTATAGGGTTATATAGAAATCCAAAATAATTTATTGCACGTCCAGTTTATGAAAATAATTATCATCTACAACAATTATTAATGTTATTGTTTTTTTTTTTTTTTTTTTTTTTTATCATTTTTATAATGTTTTACATAACGGATGTCAAAAAATTAATACATGTTTTATCATTTACGTAAACAAATACAATTTTGTATTCGACGGTATAGATATTTTACATTGGTCGACCGTAACGCTATTATTAAGGTGATTGTTCGTTATCAATTCCGTCTGAAATGACTAGTGACCGGATCAGGTGTACACGGTGGCCAAACGAACGCGGTATTTGAGAAGCCGCTGGTTCGATATAGTTTATGATTTAGGAGTAGGCAGGTTCTTTATAAGAAAATAACTAAATTTCAGCACACGCTATCCGCTTGTTTAGTAAAATATGTTAAATTAAATTTGAGCACGCAAGTACACCAGAGAAGTAGTGACAAATTAATTCGATTTAATAAACTGCGTTGATACAATTTTTTTTTTTTTGAGAAAGTCGATTTTTATTTGTATTTTTTTTTTTATCTTAGTAAGAAAATGCGTAACACATTACTTGTACACGCCAGGTTATAGAATTGGTATATTGGGTGTCGGCCGTCCAACCCACCTACAATATCGAAAGTAACTATAAATCAAGGAAAAACCAATTTTGGAAGGAGCTTATTGTAATAGTTTCGGTTGTTCATTACTATTCAAAAAGACGTTATTTAGTGGACAACTCATCCGTTCTTATCTATTGACGAAATATCAAACAATCACTTTAATAAACATACGTAATTGGATTACACCTAACGGTTCGAGTTCTCTACGGGCTGAAATATAGGTTATCGCGTGCAATTTTTTCATCGAGAAATATTATTTAATATTTCACTTGTATTTTTTAATAAACACTGCGACCGAAATTAATTAATTTTTTATTTATTAATTGCGCGTGTTTTACGCTCGTTTACTTTTGTTTTCACAAGATTTTAACGATTGCGATACATAATTTGTTTCAGGTATGAACATTTTCCGAGTTATGAATTAAATAGAATCCAACAAGTATGTATGTATACACGGTACGATATCATATAAGTTATCGGTTCACGATTTTTAAAATTACAATTTACTAATATGGCGTGACGGAATCCACGAAAAACTGAGCGTAAAATACATTTTGACGAACAAAACAGCACTCTGCACGATATTCTCGTATCGCGAGAAAACAATCAAGCCGTTCCTCGTCAAAACGAACGTAATGCAGTTTATAACTACGGTATATATTCTCGGAAAACGATTTTAAAAAACCTGTATCGTAAGGTAATAATAATAATAATAAACATTTTGCGAATATCGCGAATGCGACGCCACGCGCCAACTTATACCGTCATAATTCCGGATGGCGGATTTATACGATCTAATCTATATGCGACATTAACTTTAACCATCGCGTCATCAATATATTTCCGTGTTCCTTATTCAATGTGTCCGCAGAAACAGAGATAACTCTATGTTCTGGCACCCTGTACGTATGTATTATGAACCCTCTCGGGACATGAAACTACGACCCGGACACATATTGCATATATTACTGCGTTATTTACAATTTATCTGTCTAATATTAACTCGCGCAAAATACCGGGTTTCGGGTTTACGATAATGAATTCAGTGTGCAATACACACCACGTAACATATCGCGTAAATTACGATTACAGTTTAAACAGCTCTCGTTCGGTCGACTGTCGAAATCCAAATCGTAAGATCAAATTCGATCTTTCCGAATGAGGGTTTTCGTTTGGTGCCGCATCCAGAGGGGGGTAGGGGCTTTGAGGTCGAAGCACCTTTTAAATTTTTTTATATCTTAAGATATTATTATTATTGTTCCAGTAGTAAAATATGTTTCTATTTTTAATTTGACAATCCTGTTTGGTACACATTAATAGTTCAATAGTACGAGATACGGTTTGTGACAACCGCCGATCGATTATTTCGTTGAAAATTTTTTTTATATTTATACTGGCGATTACGTTGGATCGTCACCCGTCGTCTTAGATCGATAACTACGACAACAATAATAATTTTTACCGTCGACCCTGTAACATTGTACTGGTTAAATGCCTCGTTAGTCGTTGCCCGTTGGAACAGTTTATTCATTGTGACCGTTGTGTTGAAAACGCGTGTGTAAAAAAGCTGAGTAATAATGAGTCAAAAACGAAACGGACTTGGTACTAGTACTTAGTACTCAAAGTATTTCACTATTAAACCAAAAACTTAAAAAATCAGTGATCGACCCAATCTTTAAGAATCTTCGGCTTTACCGTCAACATCTGATATCGCTGGTAATTATGATCATTTTTCTTCTTACGATAAAGAAGACAAAGAAAAAATGCAAGTCTTACAAAATGTACGGGTCCCGTAAAATAATTTTACTTTTCCTATTCAGCAAATTGGCAGTCAATTATTAAATTGATACGTCATTAGTATTTAGGTCCAAATATAATTATAAATATAAAATTGTGTACTACGTGGTAATAATGGTAATATTAATAATAAAAAAAAAAAATGATTATTTAAAAATTAGTGTCAGTTGTTTACCTGTGTGTAATGATAATAGGAAAACTTTTAAGCCCCCTCCCCCAAACAAAAATCTTGAGAACGTTCCTGGTTTTCGTTAAAAAAAAAAAATGAAATTGTGTCTCGCGTGCGCATTGTTTACGAGTTAAAAAAAATATAAGCCGGATGATTCGATCACCAAATAGGTTTGTAGAATTACGTGTCTCGTAAACTAAATTAAATATTACGTACAAGTGTCCAATTATCGAGACGGGCACACGCGTAGTTCAAGTTCGATATGACTCCTGGCCAAAATGTTAACGAACCATCGAAAATGATTCGATCGATACAATTATGCTCATATACGTTTCTGGCGATTTTGAATTCGAAACGAAATATAACTAACGGGGTTGCAAAGTGTTTTAACTAAACGCTCCTGTCCTAAACATTTCCATAATTTATAATCGCATTTTTACAATTATATTATCGTTAATAAATCTTCGCAATAGACTGTAGTTTATATACGTACAAAAGTTACTTTAAGTTTTTGCTATCTTTACTAAAGCTTTTCCCTTTGGTTGTTTATTTCTCAAAGGTAAATATCTAATTAAATAATCCGCTGGCATTAAAAATACAAATAATCAGCCGAAATTTGTAAGTATAAAATAAATATTTAATAAAATTAAAAACGCTACGCTTAAATTTTAAATTTTTTTAACCTAAAGAACATGTTTTTTCTCATTATTTCGAAAATTAAAAAATTACTTTTCCATAAAGTACCAATAAGAGCTAAAATTAAAAAAAAAAAAATGGTCTTATATTCAATAAAAACGTGACAAAAAGTTCATATTTTTACTAGAGCCAGATTTCCGGTAGAAAAATTATTTACAGATAGTAAAAACTAAAAAAAAAAATACACGGCAAAAAAAAAATTAATATATTCTTCACTTTATTCGGAATCTAAAAACTACAATGTTTTTTGAATATGTTAAGATAATATTTTTAAGTTATAATTAAATTGTTTGAAACATCAAAACACAATTTAAATAAAAAAAAAAAACAACAATCTTTTTGCAACTCTGAAAATTAATACACTTTATTCAATTTTAATTATCAAACAAAACAAATTCAAAGTAAATTAGTCGTCGGAAAATGTGTAGTTGTTCCATGCCACTGTTTTGATTTGATAATTTTGTTGGTTATTTTATAATGAAAATAAAGGTGACCGTCTGCTGCTAACCTTTTTTAAACCACCACCATACATCCCTTTTCAACCTTCCCATACTCGAAAAAAAAAACAGACTTTTCTGCCGTTTCCTGCATCGTAGCCAGCGAAATTATACGTTATAGGCTGTAACGTAAAATAATACGTGCTTAGTCGTTTTTTATTAAATTACATTTTAGATTCTGAACGTAGTGAGAAATGTATTAGTTTTACAAAGATATTTATTTTTTTTCATGTGTACAAAAATATCAAGTATAGCCCGTCTTCCGAAAAGAAATTTTCCTGAGGTAGTTCTTTAATGAGATCATATTTTGATTTCCCAGGGGTTTTAATAGTAAATGGGAAAAACCGAGAAAAAACGGAAAATTTACGAAAATAATGCTTTTATTATTTTCAATTTTGTTTTTCATTGTGATACAATAAATAATATTCGTGGTGTCCTTATATTTGCCTTTTATAGACGTGGTGAAATTTTCAAATTACATAAGCACTTTTTAAGTTACTAGATTTTTTAATTTTGTGAGTTTTGTACGTAACATTTATTCGGTAGGTACTCTGTGGAACACGTTATAAGACCAAACAGGAGTTTCAATTTAAGTTGTACTTAGTGATTAATAAGAAAAAGTTGAGTTCAATGTAATATATACGAGTATATAAATATTTTTTTTTTTTATAAGAATTTTAACATCAAATTTTGACGAAAATCGTAAATATTACGGCCTTTTAAACATGTTTTACTGAACTCCGCTCAGAATCGTTTTTCATTAGCAATTATTTTGTTTTGATTCATTTAAAAATACAAGGTCAGGTTAGGTTAAAATAACAATTGAATTATTATACTAGTATATATTTTACAAATAAACATCACAAGACAAATGCTATTTTTGTAATGCATGTAAAATTGTTTTACTTTCATTTTAGTATGTAAATTGCATTAAATTTGTAATGTTTAGTCCCTCCTATTGAAAAATTCTGGATACGCCACTGCATAATACATCATAATATCACATACCTACTCGTAGTAGATTCGAAAAAATTCGAGTTTATTATTGATGTGCAGTAGAGCATCCGACGTTAATATTCAATTAAATAGTGCCTATCTAAAAAATGTATACACAAATAGTGAAAACTGTAGTTTTTTTTCAATTAAAACCATCCAATAAAACGTTATTCTTCATGGTTATTTCATAAAAAAAAAATTAGTCAAATAGTCCGGGGTAGTTTTTAAAATTTTTTTTTTTTTAGAAATTAGGGATAGAGTAATAATTTTACATATTCCTAGTAGTTCATATTAATGCAGTTTGTTCTTTCTACTAAAATAGTTTCCTGCGGCAACCATTGCTTGACAGACGGCCCTCGGGAATCCTCAACAACTATAAACCTCTCAAACCCCTATAGTACCAAATTGATTTTCTGATTTTTTTTTTGTGAATACTTTTAGATTCAATCAAAAATGTTTTAAAAGTTTTTTGTAAACTTTTGAATTCAGTAATTACTGAATAGTGTTTGAACTATCCGGATATTTGAATATTTTAAAACCCAGATATGAATAAATTTTGATATCTGTGGTCCGAATATATTCGGATATTAGACGTAATATTCGTATGTATCTACTATTCAGATTTTTTTTTTTGTTAATTGCGTATTCATAAAATTCAATCTAGAATATTCGGTACCTTAACGGTTTTTATTCAAATAAAAATACATAGGTACTTGGAAAACATTAAAATTACAGAAATCCGAATACAATAAATATTCGAATAAGAATGTTAATCGAACACATTCGGATTTCATGGGAATTAATTATCCGGATAAAACAATCCGAGTATCCGAACATATGTCCCGAAACTATTACGGAGATATAGAGAACACTTTTTGAAATTGTTAGCGGTTTAGCAGTTTTATTAATAACTAGTTTTCTTGCGGCCGGCGTTTCCCGTGCCGATTTTTTTAAATTTTTTTACCTTTATTCCGGTATTGCATTGCCCGTATATCAAACGAATGAAAATAGGCTGGGTAGTCCAGTGGACTAAAAGTGTTCCGGTGTGCCATACTTTTTTTTCATCCGTGTTATCACGGATACTCAGCGCAGCACATTATTGCACGTTGTTAAATTATATTATATCCACTATGATAACGTTAAAATTATGAGGACATAATAGTATACTTTAATGTTATTAATGTACCGAAACTTACAAAGATTCAAAGACGACGTTTTACTTGATCCCTGTTACCGGGGTAGCCCATCCTATAGTGTAAATAATAGTAATAATAATAATAATATTTTTTCTTGTCCATGACAACCAAATTACAATCCATATTACCAAGGTAACTCGCCTTTTTTTTTTTTTTTTTTTTTTATGTTTTATTATGTTTATAATGATTACGATTTAAATAGCTCTCATTCGGTCGATTGCGGATTTAAGAACAATGGAATGGATACATCGAAATTGTATGATCAAATTCGATCGTTAAGAATAAGGGTTTTCGTCAATGGCGCACCCAAAGGGGGCTTTGGCGCTGAAGCCTCCCCTAAATTTTTTTTTGTATTATATTATATTATCATTATTGTAACAACCAACCTAACCTATAAACTAATTATACATAATACCAGTATAAATATAGATAAAGATGGAAAAATATTGAACGTTTCCTACCGGGAAATCCGAATCTTACTCGAAGATAGGACTATTAAAGCAATATTTATGTTTGAACAGTTGGAAACAGAGAGAAAAAAAACACACACATTATAGTAATAGCAAAAATCGCTGTACTCCGAATTTAGAAAAAAAAAATGCCGTTTAATTTAATCATGCTTTTGCCACAAATCGTACAGTATTATCGTGTTATATAAAGAATAATAATAAAACACTGAGAATTTTTTTTTTTATAATTTACAATTATTATTATTATTATTATTATTTTTTTTTTTTTTTTTTTTGTTCTCTCTATACAGTAATATTGATTTTATGATTATGATGGTGTTTTTTGTTTGTTTGTTTTATAAATACATAAACACAATTTTTCATCTCCTTAGAACTACACAATATATGAATTGTGATAATTCGGTATATTATAAAAAAAAAAAAAAAAAAAAAGAGGTCAATTACATTACGAAAAAAAAACCATTAAATAAAAATATTTTTTTTTTTTAGTTTTTATTTTCAGATAAATCATCTAAACAAAAAAAAAAAAAAAATGTATATTAAGAATATTTGATATAATGGCATATATAAGCGTGAGAAAAATATTGATGGAAAAAGCCGTCCATTAATGACACTTCAATTTGATTATTTATTATGGTGTACGGTAATTATTCGGGTACGTATTACTATTGGTTGTCAGGATACCATGTTCTTTTAAGCTTGTGACCGGGTTTTCCGGGACGGATTGGTCTGTGCACATTGTTTATGAGCTGTTTGTAGTGGGGGGTAAGTTTATTAAACGGATCGGCTGTAGTTGATTTTAGTTTCTTCATCAAAAGTTTCGATATGAAGGTCATTGTGAAGAGTATGATTTGAACGAGAACGAAAACAAATATCGAGAGGATATTCGAACAGCCATCAAATGTTTAATGTTAAGCCCTACTCGATATTTCTGTGTTTTTTTTTTTTTTTTTAACAATTAAAATATAACTACACGTGCATATTACGCGTCTTGCCGTTGTGCAACATTGAATATTTTCGTTTCAAATATAATATTTATTATTATTTATTTTGAAGACGCGAAATAAATCAATATACATTCATTACGATTCGGGATTATTCCCATAAAACCGTTTTTCATAAAGGCTTTTTTAGTCGCTTAACGATTTACAGTGATACAAAAAAAAAAAAATAAGCAAAGAATAAACTTTTGCTTTTTTATAAATAAACACTTTTGGAGAAAGTTGACCATCGATAGTGTTATGGTTTTTGCGGCCATTAAATGCAAAAAAAAAAAAAAAACAAAACAAAATTTATAATAAAAATAATAATTAAAACGAAAATAAACCAAAAATTTCTTTAGCCACTACGTTTAATAATAATTACTATTGTTTCTATATACAGAGATTCTATGAAATCTTAAAACTTTTTTTTTCTGCTATTACCCTTTAGTTTATCCGTGAACTTTGACAGTTTAAAAAGCAAAATAGAAAGTTTTTTGACTTTTTAATAGTATATCGTCAGTGGCGAGAGGGTAAACATACCGAAATGCGTAAAGCGATAAATTATTATTATTACAATTTTATGTTGTTGTTGTTTTTTTTTTTTTTTTAATTGATCGGTTTAAATCTAAGACACACGTATATGATGTGTCACCGTCAATCGAGTTTAGTATTCAAGTGATTAAATTATTTCCATTTCTTTTTTTTTAAGTTTTATAAATTTTGATTTTAATTAGAGACTAGTTCGTTAAGTAGTTCATAAACTATGATATCACTTTTACACTTATTTCGTACATGAATAAAGGGAGAAAATAAATTATTTAAATATGTCTTTTTCACTTTGTCACTTTTTGCACGAGAGTCTCAAAATATGATAACACGAATCTGTAATAAATACTTAAAACATTTATGTTCATATCGGCCGATACTCTTAAAAATGATGCAATTTTTACACGAACTAAAAAAACTAAAAAGTGTAGAACGTCTATAAATAGCTTTAAAATAATTTCCAAATTATTTGAATGTTTTAAAAAAAGTGATTATCAGTATTCAATATGAAGATATCAGATCTCTACGATAATTACGATAGTTTTTAACCGGATTACAACAAAAACAAAATCGAAAGTAATCAAACAATCATTGCCCTAAACATTTACGTTTTCCTTGTGTTTTGTACAGGTTTTTCTTAAATATAAGGAACACTACCATAAGTCAACTAGATTACAAGTACTACGAAAAGAACTTTTGTTTGTTTAATTTTTGGTAGAAAGGATGTTAACGGCCAAAAAAAAAAAAAAAACTAACACCATGATGGCGAAACCAATGTATCGCTCACAGCGCTCAGAATTTAAAAAATGACAGTACGGCGGGGAAACGTGGCGGATGCTGTTTTTGAAACGTAATAACACGATTTATAAATGCTATTAGTTTTATACCCAACAGTGGTTCGCCAAAAATATTGATGTACTCGGCGTGCGAATAATAATCATGCATCCACTGTTTTATATAGCTAGGTAATTATGTGCATAAAACGAACGAAATTATAAATTAATTAAAGTACAGAGATTTATTTATAGCAATTAGGCACTGAAATTAAAACGAATAAACTATTGTAATTATTATATTTGTTATTCGCGAAGTGTTCTGCATTTTCTCCTTGTTTTAATTAAAAAAAAAATTATAAAAATAATAATAAAAAATACAATGCGTATTATCATTACGGCAGGTATTAAAAAATTATAATTTCGAGTATTTGTTTCGCGTAATTATATTATTATTATTAAATATGATTTATTACAATATTTCGTTGTGCGTGGATATGCACAAAATATTTTCGTTGAGTTTTCACGAAAAATCGAACGCAATTAAAATATATTACCGCAACCCTACCGGACGATAACTGGTTGGTGAATAATGGCAATAACGGCTGCATCCGAATTGGTTACCGATAAACACATTCGAAAACGGCCAAATGCGATCTAATATTATAATAATATCGTACAATATCGATAAAACAGAATTCCCATCATTACGCACGTGTGTATACCGTATAGAATGTCATGAATTGTCAGTGAAATAAAAAAAAAAAAAATAAAAATAATTTCGAATACATTGCCGAAAGTATTCAGAATAGGTGTGGAATACGTGAGGTTATAACGAAATGTGTAACGTTGGGTTCGGATGAATAATGAAAGAACAATCAATTAAGTATATTATTGAATATAATATGATTGGACGATTATCACGGTTATACACTAGAATTTTAACCGTTAAGAATTAATTTTCAAATGTGGTTTTGAATCAAACACCGCCGGCCAGAAATGACGAGTGTCTTGAAGTAATGAAAAATTTACGACATAACATATTTATTAATCGAAAAAATAAAAGCACACATCTTAAAGTTAAGCAATAAACACTCTAATAAACGAGACTAAGAAAAATTATATATTCCGCTTTCAAGGACTTAAATAGTTTTTAAAATATCCAGAACACTTAAATGATAATGAATTTTACAATGACGTAAATGAATAACTTTTTTTGAAGAAGTATTTTATAAATTCTAGGTACATTGGAGAACCTTTTTGTTTTACAAAGACTGTTTTTTTTTTTTCTTATATTCTCAGAAAACACTTCTAGGGTTCGTAAAAATGTTTTGACTTTTACTTACCTTAAAAGATGCGGAATTCCCGATGTCGATATTTTATTAAATAAAATATCGATTTTATTTGAGACAATTTATCTAAAATTTTGAAAATTCGCCTTGTATGACGGTTTTTTTTTTTTTTTTATTATTGATTTCTGAGTTGCCTTATTACAAAATAGAAAAACACGACTAACACGAATCCACTCAGAATCGTTTTTCGTTTGTAATTATTTATTTTCAATACACAAAAATAAACTAAATATTCCTCTGCGTACCACCTTATGCCTTCCGAACTACCTAACTGCTACAACAGCGGGCCTACTACCCGTATGGCTATAATTTTTTTTTTGATTTTTTTGTAGCCAAACAGAATTGTCAAGTTGAATTGCCCGAGAAATTTATTTTTCTCACCTCTCATAATTACGAGAGTAAACGCATCGACACAATTACACGGAAAAATCGTTTTTTTTTCCCCTGCCGAATAAAAACATTATACCTACATAATTTAATTGTATTTCAGTATAATTAACTAAACGAGTACACGGTGGGACGCGCGTGGTCCTTTGCAGAGCGTCGCTCATATCGCGGATTATGTTGTCACTCAGCTGTTGCATTTACATGCCGTTATGATTTATGCGCATATTTCGCTATAAATATAGGTATAGGCAGGTACACAACTACAGCGCCACGGTGGTTTTTTTTGTTTTACTCCTGTTTTTTTTTTTTTTTTTTTCAGTTTTGCCGGTCCTGAATTATTCAACATCAATACCAACCGTATATATTCGTTAACCGTTAGGTATAATATATAATATATGGGTATGCAAAGGCAAACACAATGAGAAACGTACAGATGTAAAAATAACATATACATTAGTATTTTGGTTTAGTAATGCAAATAGGTATGTATCGCATATTATCATGACATAGACGTTGGCTAAAGACGTGCAGGATAAGGTTGCGGCACAAGGAAAAAAATAATAAAAAATATTAATTCTAGAAATGTCGTAAATCGTAATTAATACGCGTGAACAACCGTAGTATTGGGTATTTTCGAGTGACGAAAAATATTTAATTTAGATTATTAAAACGTTGGATTCCCGATGTAACGAACTATAACTAGAATATGAGTATAGTTATTATAGTTGTGCTATAAGATGAAAACACTATTCCGGTCAATTTAATTTACTCGAATATTTTTCAAATGTATCCTATCTTATAGATGCACATTTTATATACCGGGGTACATTATATGAATGGGTTTTCTTAATAAAAAAAAAAAAAAAAAAAACCAACTACGTAATGAAGATGAATGGGTTTTATTCTCATATATTTATCGGTTATTGTGATCGCAAAATATATACGCAACACACGACTAATAATAATTACCAGGTTACTAGTCAGAATCGTTTTTCGATTGCACCGGTTTATATTGTGTTCAGTATACATAATTATGATTATAAATAAACCTCTAATGTACCCTATACCGTTTGAACTTTCCATTTACTACAAAAGTGAGCCCACCCCATTTTTGCGAAATACGTCAGTTTTTTTTTCGCTATGGTTAATTTGTTTACCAAATATTTATTGCGTTACTAATTATTATAATATCAAACTATGAGAATACATAAACAATACGAATAGTATTTAATGCACTTACGAGAAAGTTGCAGATTTTAGTACTGCAGTTTTCCATTATTTCGTCAAAAAATTATAAAATAATATTAATAATTTATAAAACGATTATTTCCCCTAAGAGAAATCGCGCAGAGAAAAAATGTTGACTCGTTTCCAGTGTATCCCGCCACAATCGATAAAAATGATTTTATGAAACTTTTAGAACATTTTTACGATGACGTCATAAAGTTGTTTTCCAAAGAAGACAACAATACGCGCATTATATAATATTGTATGCATAAAGTTTCCTCGTTCCGTTCGGATTCCGAAATAAAATTCCGAATATTTGAAAATTCAAAACAATAATATTATGATAGAACTTTTTCTCTAAATATTAGTACAATATTATCCAGTGAGTTTAGTTTTTTGTCGCCCCCAAAATGGAACCGAATGTATAGAATTATCATATTTGTACGTGTCCACGAAAAAAAAAAAAAAAAAAAAATGTACACGTATTATTTATACAAGTATAATGTATATACGTGAAGTGTCCTACAATGTTATCAATATGCTAATAATTCTGTCAATATTTTTTTTTTTTTTTTTTCTAATCAGGTTTTATGTCAGAGGGACACAAATGTAAAGAAAAATCAAAAATTTATTTTTATCCCTTAATTGTTGAAAAAATAATAATTTGTATTTTATCACTTTTCATGATTTTAAAAATATTCTGTTTGTAAAGTAGATTATTTTTAAAATTGTAACGTATCATATTATTATGGTCATATCCAATCAATAGTTTCTTAGTATTAGTAGCGATTTTAATATCTAGAGAAAGGTGGGAAAAACTAGACGTAAAACTTGAAGCGTTAGTGAATATCATAGTTGTAATACACGATAAGAGATGTTGAAATGCTGAAATTTATGATGCATCCAAATTATAAAAAGTGAAAAAATGAAACGTCGTTTTGTTCAGTGATTGAGGGATGAAAACAAAAATGTATTTGTCTCTATTCGACACGAAACCCGATTGAAAAAAAAAAGAAATTAATTTCGACAAGGTTATTAGCATATGGGTAACACTGTAGAATACTGTATATCCGTATGTTATCCTAAGACTTTATACCGATTATAGGCATCTGTTTGGTTATTTCGTTTAAAATTTACAATTTTCGTTCACATCGTTCAATTTGTTGTTGTATGATTTTTCATTTTATAATTATACAATTGATTACTAAATGTATCGTGTTATAATCGGTTATTAAATAAACTGTCTTTTATCGTGCTGCTTTCGTACGTAGTCGGTTTTTTTTTTAATATATATATTTATTTATAATACGACACAGGGATACAGACTACGAAATATATTCATATTTTAATTAAATTTGTATCTTTTGGTAAAACATTTCGAATAATAACTTTATTTTATTATTTCCGAAAACGTTTGATCATGGCAATTTTATTTTAAAGAGAGTTTATTCTTCTGAAAATATTAACATTTCAACTTTTTATTTTCATTAACCTTCATGATTTTTAATATTATTTTTTAGTTCAAAAAAAAAAAAAAAAATAGTGTATTATTTAATACCATAGTAATGTTTTCAAATTATCTCATTCCGTTTTTTGATAAGTTTTGTATAATAATGAGTTTTGAGATACTACCAAAACACTATTAAATTTAATACCCTATTTGTGTGTAAAGTAAAAAAAAAAATATATATATATATATACGAATCATGAGGTTAATAGAAATAAAAATGTTGAAACTTCAACATTTTTAGAAGTATAAACTCCAAAAATCATGGCTATATTTTTAAATCTTAATCTGAATACAATAAAACGAAGTTGTTTTTTTAAATTGTTTATCGAAACATAAATCTAATTGAAATGCGATTCATTTGCAGTCCTTATGCGAATTTCACGAAAACAACGGAAATCGATAATTTATCGTCATTATCTCAAGAGATATCGCTATGGGTCGGTATATCTTTGTGGGACACCATATATGTCTATTTGTTTTCGGACGTTTTTAATAATTCACGACCAAAATATATAATACGTTTTCAATTTTGTATACCGTAATATTATATCGTGATTGTGATTGATACAATAGCAAAAAAAAAAAATATATATATATATACTACTATAATCATTATACACCGAATAAATCTGAAGCGTTTGGCCGAACAATTGACGGGCGTTTGGCCAAAGGCTAAATGGATTTATGATTAACGGTCGGTAAAACTCGAAAACGTTCGGAACACAGTGTTCGGCGTATATATCTGTGTATTTAGTGCCAATTCCGAACGATTTCTATTAAAGTTCTGACCGGATCCTATAATCTAAGTATAACATACAAGTAAATTTACATAATATAACGATTAAATACCGTGCGGTTATTCGGAACAATTTTATCCGCGTTTGTAAGACTGTGCGAGTTTATGACACGACGATATGGACGCCCGACCGTTGGTGTATATACGGAGGTAGATTAGGGATACGTTTCCCCCTTGGCCTTTTAATTTCCTTGTGTTTTTGTTTCAGTCAGACAAATCTATAATTTGATGCGTTGGTGCCTATTTGCATGCCTATAGTTAATTTGTCAAAAAAACTAAATACAGATACAGATTTTCTTGACTTAAACGAAACTTATCCGTACCACTATAATGCGAAGGATGTTCAATTTGTACCTACCTGAATATTATATAAAGTTAATAAATGTTTACCGATAATATATGTAATTGATTTCGATAATAATTTTAAAACGATTGAATCATAGATACATTATTTCACAAAATACATTATAAAATACAAATTGATCTTTTTTTCCTTTTTTTTTTTTGAGCCTAAGTACACGTTTACAATGTGACACAATTTCAAAATTTGTTTATAACCTCTCGTGACGAAATCCTAAACACGCCGTCGCGTCGAATACTGCGCACCGACTAAACCCGAAATTTAACAATTATCGGTTTTCGGGTAGAAAAGTTACTAACAGACACGAAAAAAAAAAAAATAATAAAACACAATTAAAGTAAAACCATTGTTTGCTGCGTGAAGAACCTAAAAAATGTAATTTACGGGAGGCGCGATCGCAAAAGAATCGGGGTAACCGCGATACAAAAAAATTAAATAATATTATTTATCATTGCTTCTAATTTTAAACCCTGCAGTGGTCTGCCGAAAATTTCGATTTACTCACGGTGCGGATAATAACTTTTCGTTCGCTATTTTATATACAAGTAGGTAATTATAATTTTTCCGAAGTTATAAATTAATTTACGCACAGAGATTTGTTTACAGCAATTAGAGGCAGTGGAATTGAAACAAATCAGCTAAGGTAGTATTATCGTGATATTCCGTTATGCACAAATATGTCGGGTGTTCTGCGTTCCATTCTCGTTTCAATTTCGACTAATACAATGCGTGTTATCATTTCGGCACCCGTGTATTCAAAACCTACGGTTTCGAGTATTCGTTTCGCATAGGCGTGTAATTATCGAACACGGCTTATTGAAAAATTTCGTTTGCGGTAACGGTACGTATCCGCGCGCTTCTATAAAACGCGCGAGAACCCGAAACGCATCTAAGCACACAGTGCCCTTTAAGTGCGCTGCAGCCGTAATACTACTGCAATGATACAACGTAATACAATATGCGGTGTACAATTGGGCTCCTGTAACAGACAACAACGAAGGAGGGGCCTTGTTCTAATATAGCGTTTATAGCGGACCGCCGTGAGGTGTTCTTATTTTATTACAGCCTTTGTAGCGGAAACAAGCGAACTGAAATATGGTATTTATAGACCTTTTGTACCGAGAATAGATGGAGGATACTAAATCGCGTATCAGCGTTCCCACGTGTGGCCTACAATCAACTTCCACATAAGTACGGCCAGATCACGACGGCAGACTGCAGATAGCGGCGATAGACACCGGACGTTGCCAACAGTAGATGCGCACGAGCGTGTACTATAACCGGTGGCGACTCGAAGGAGATATATTTGAATCACAAAAAAAAAAAAAACAGGGTCGTGGGTCGTGGGTTCCCGTGCGTTCGGAAATATAATAAAAACTATTATTTTTTTTTTACAAAACAAAAGTCATTGAAATCTTGGTCAAAGAGTTTTATAGTGCGGTGATTTGATAAATTATAAAACATTTGTGATTGGCCGGGTGTATTTCTGGGTTAGGGTGGAAAATTCAATTTTCGATTCGAGGTAAAAATACTTCAAGCCGCCACTGATTTTAACGCCGCCCGAATCGACGTCAAACTAGACGAGTCCACCGCGATCCATTGCGAGCCACTTCGCGTCACACTACGTAACGAATTTTTAATTTCAACTATAGTAATATGTTTTTATATTTTATTTAATTAGACTTGGAATATTTTCGAGCATTATCTCATTAGACTTGTAGTTTTTTCGTTGAAATATCGGTATCCCCTGAATATAAATTCAGTGTTGTAGTTCAAATCATTCCGTGTCATTTCACTTTTCGTTCGTTCCCCCGAATGGGCGCGTTACAGTAAATGCGCGTCTGTTGAGTTCTACTGAAAACGAAACGCGATTGTTATACATTATAGTATGTAGACGCCTACCTGGCGATAACCGACGAACGATAAGTATGTACCAGGTTTGCGTGGTTATAATACCCCACTTACAAAATATGTATAATGATAATTTTATTTATTTCGAAATGGCCATCGGTGTAGTCTTATGTATTTTAAATAATATTTACATTATACATTTATTTTTACGGTACATAATTTGACTGTTCGGTTATTTATTAATTTTTTTTTTTTTTGTTCTTATCAAATTCACCGTATACGTTTACTAAAAAACAATCGCGCGTGATTTCTAAAGACAATAATATTATTTTAATGTAGATTAGCCGTAAAACGATTACTCGCGCTCGAAACGATGATAAATCTTACCAACCGTATATATCATGTAAATGAAGGACTTTTTGAATAAGTATTTTATGATAATGAGCACCGTTTTAAATATTATAATAATATTATTATGGCGTTGTTACTTAGCAGAATTATAATTGATTTAATAGATTAATTTTTGCTCAACGTAAATATTTGTTACGATATGCAAACGAGCTTGTTTGTTTTATTTGAACATTCATTATGAATCCTACGACGAGTGTGCCGTGCATCGTATCACGTTACATTTCGTTCCGGGGTCGAACGCGAAACGAGCAAAATTATTTATTATAATGCAATTGTTCGTGAGTATTTTACGAATTCGATATGAAATAAGTATTAATTTTATTATTATTTCTTTATTGGCGGGGAAAAAAAAAACATAATTTACAAAACAGTTATGTAGATGGTCCGGTACAAAATTTACGGTACATAATTTAAACACAACGCCATAATATGTACGATATATTATAGGCTTTTATATTACATGGTCAAACAACGACCGCTTGTATAATGAATTTCGATTGGTGGGTGTGCCATCTATATTCGAGTTGACGGCAGTTTCGTATACCTATACTAGAATACGTATAATATCATTTATTATTATCATTCAAATTCCAAAGTTTTTCCGAACAAAACTACGTGGTTTTTACATAATAAGCAGTATATCGAATAAAAACAAAAACACAATTTTTTCTCAACTATAGGTACCAGGAGGCGTTTATATAATTTTTGTCATTGATTGTACACTTTTTTTTATGTCGCACTGTCCACGTAAACAAAGTAATCATGTGTAAAAAGCAGAATCACAAAATACAATAAAAACTAAAGAAAAAAAAAATTAAACTACACCTTCAATTCAACAACTGCACACACACAATTCTACAAAAAGGCTTCTTATCGTTTGTCGTTTGAAACAAGATTCCTGGTATAAAAAATTTTGAACACACGGAAAAAAAAAATATTTACACACATCGAAGTAAATCCAACATACTCCTTGTTCGGTTTAGCAACTGAAATCGCACACGTCATATTGTAATAAGTAAACAGAATCTAAAGATGATTGAATAATCATCGCGCTCAAAATTGCCAATTAATCCGGTGATTAATGTATAATGGAATTACGCCAAACTCACGAGGTCAACGGTAATATAGCAGTAATTATCAACAATATTATTTGGGATTAAATGACAGGGGTGGGGTCGGACATTAAATCGAGATGTTCGACATGGAGGATTAAAAACAGATTGATTTACAAGTCTCTGAACTTTGGACGTTATTTATAGCGCCGTATTTAAACACTCGCACGACAATCCATACGGACAAATCCCTAAATCAGTAGTTATCGGCATAAGTCAAAATCTTCAAAAATGTTTGAAGGGAGGGGATTTCAATAACCATAAGCATCGTGCGCATCTAATATTGGAAAATTTTTAGAACGGTCTTGTTACAAATAAACAAAATTAGAGATGTCGCGGTTCGCCAAACATTATAAACCACTGTTTTATATTCACGAATGTTCAACGTAAAAACCAACTATAGCAGGTATTTGACGAATTTTTCTCTTGATAGTTATTCTGCGAAAAAAAAAAATAATACATCGCTGTGAGCGTTCATTCGATGCGAACTAAAATAGTAAAAATTCGTATCGGTTCTAATGGCGTATTATAATGTGTGTTCGCGTTTACAGGTGTTACTGAATATTTGAGCCAAATGATCTGCACTTGAATTCCGTGTTCTGGAACGGATATTAGATACTGATGTACATACTGTAGTGATGGAATACGTACTTTAGATAAAATTGCATGTATTTAACCGTTTTGTATGCGAAATTCATTACAGAATTCAAATCCAAGGTCATATAGTCGACATAAATTATAGTGTTACGTTGAAACACGAACACACTGTATATTTTCTACTAAATGAAACAGCGAGTACCCATACGGAGTGATGAATTATTATCGATAACTCGAAACTGTACAATAATTCGATTACTGAGCTTACTCGACGGTTTTTCCTGTGATATATTTCGTCCTGGTGATGATATTTTCATTACGCTCGATATAATAACTTTATTATTTTTGAGTCTCATTGAATATATTGAATATAGGGAAACTTAGAAATAAACCGCAGGTGAAGTAATAATAAGAAGACAATTTATTTTGAACTACAGATATTTCACATTATTATTAGACGAATTTATTTATTTATTACCTAGTTCCATCGTAGGATTATTAGATATAACAGTAGAATTAAATTATTATTTTCTTGTTTACAGAGTATCGGTACATATATTTTGTACCTACCTACGCGTTATTCAGAAAGGAAGATTTCATAATGATAATTTTTAGATTTTGGACGTAGCAAAGAATAACTTAACCTAAACTTATTTTCTACGACGCGTTTCATTATTTTTCTACTCTTTTTTGTGCCTTTTCACAATTTGTTCAACCATAAATCTTACTCTTAGGAAAACAAAAAAATCAAGATAGTTATTGGTAGCGTATTATATTTAGTTAGCGTGATGAGGATGTGATGATTGATTTTTACAGGCAACTAGTTTTCTTAATAATGCAGTCAAAAACGTCGGAAACACGAAACAATTTACGCAATAATCATTTCTATTATTTGTAAATATGTTTTTTTTTTTTTTTTTGTTTCGTCCATTAATTTTTATTTAATTTATAAATAGTGAGATAATCCATTTGTTTATTATTTTATTCATCTTCATTAGTTAATTACCTGGGTGATATCAATCACCACAAAATAAACTGACAACATAAATGACTAAAAACACGAAATGTAATTTAAATATAAAAACGAAAATGTCTCATTGATTTTATAAATATTAGGACTTTGAAATTTAAACTAATCATTGGTAAACTTATAATGAATTTGTGGTTATGTTTGAATTGTGTTCAATAACCGTTGATAAATTAAATCTAATGTAAATAGATCAAAATTCTTATGACAGCAATAGGTAAGATTAAATTCTCTCTAAATCCATTAAAAATAATCGCAAATACCCGAAATTCTCACTAAATTTTCCCGAAAGGACTAATAATAGCCCTTTCTTGAAACTGTGTAATTTTTACTTTATGTTGGCACACCCATCAGCAGTATAAACTCTCTTTTCTTTTTTTATAACCATATTAGTATTTTATGGAGGCTTTTTTAAGAAAAAAAAGTATTTCTATTACCTACATTTCTCATTTCACAAAAAAAAAAAATAAATATAAACTTGTATAGCGATAACGCTATCTATATTATTATTACCAGGGCCATGTTTATAAACACAATGCATGCCTTATTTTCGCAGTACCGCTACACATATTATAAAAAGGAATTCGTGTATTTTTAATATGAAGCCCCGTGGCTTCTTTTTGTTTCACTTTTTCCGCCATTCGTCTCCGGAGACTATGTACGTACTATATGTAGGTCGCATATATCGACTCGTTTTACGTTATATATACCTCAACGTAATTAATGTAATCCACTGAACGTCAGCCAGCCTTCACCAAACCGAAAAAAACAAAATACTATGATAAAGATAGGAACTCATTTATCCTTATAAGAATATAAAAAGGCATGGTTCAAAGTGACTTTAAAAAATAAAAAAAAATAAACAATGTTATTATCTACACATTTAAGACATTTTCTACCATATTATAATATATCATACCTTATCACACTCTTCGTATACGTATCTGGAGAAGAATTCGATTAAGTATATTAAAACGGCAAAATGTCCGTATGGAAAGGTATTATTTTTTTTTTATTAAAAAATGGAGAATATTACACTGTATTGTGTCTATTATATACATACATATATATATATATATATATATTAATCTCAGTCCGATTTTTTCGGAAAGATTTAGCGGCACCTTTAATTTTAACTGAATTCTGTTATGAATTTTATTTATTTTTTTAATATTATGTATGGTTTAATTGATTCACTATTAGTATCGTGATAAACTTCAATAATGTGCCATTTTGTGTTTTCCACTTTCAACTCTCACCCCAACCTTTTTTATGCTCAATTTCAGGACTTTTGGTTTTAGTACGCAGCAAATTTAAACCAATTAATAAATTATAACAAACGTCCTAGGATAATGGAGACGGTTGTTAATTATCTATATCAGTGGCTGTTATAGATAATTTAATGTAAACCTGTAAGCAACAATAAACTAGTGCTTACGAAAAAACTATTCTGAGCGGAGTTCAGTTGATAGCGATGCTTTGTCAACAATTTATACATGTAATTTTATAGTAAAATAATTAAATAGGCTTTATATATTTTCTTTAATAATATACGGTTAATGTTTTACCGATTTTCCCAATACTTCTACGTTTTTTTCAGGTTTTTTTATGTTTTATCTCGGTTGTTCGTATTTGATGAGAAAATCTTGAAAAAAAACGAAATATTACATCCTTAGAGTACCTCTCATGCCGATTTCCTTTCCGGAAAGGTGCTACATATAGAAATCCTAGCAAGTCTTCCGGTAGAAATGTTGCGCACAGACATACAAAAAAATAAAATAAAACAAAATAATAATAAAACCAAACGCTTCTTGGCTCCACTCAGAATCTAAAGTTACAATGTTTAAATTAAATTGTGACTATTGTTTAATATAAGTTAATTAACAATCGGAAATTTCAAATTAATCTGTCATATAGCACCAATAAATTTACCGTGATAACAGTTTAATCTTCGGTGATTTTAATAAAAAACAATTTAACGTTCATACATTGTTTTTAAATAAAAAACTTTAATCAAGGAATTTTGTATTCATGCATCCGTGTGATTATAATTACACTATTTCCATTGCGATTTTATTTTTATTTTTTGTTCTTTTACGATTTCTAAGAATTTGTTCAATATATCAAACGAAATTCTGTTAATTTAAAAATTATTAATAAGGGTTATAATACAGAGGTACGAGTAAAATAAAATTAATATACTTTCTGATTTATAAATGTATGCCATAGTTTATTTTCCCGTACCACAACTGTGTTCGTTCACTCGGTTTCTTTTATTATTCGTAATTCAAACTTATTTAACCTGAAAATTAAAAATGTTTGTTTATATTAAATCGTTAGAAAAAAAAAAAATTATATTATTGACTACGCTCAAAATCTAAAAAATATTTCAATTTTTACCTCGATATTTATAATAGCCACATACTCGGTTTTTATTTCATAAATTTCTGACGCAGAATAATATTATACGGCGACGTAATTGTAAAAACTTTATTATAACACATGCGTTCGTAAAAAAAATATTAATACTCCCATAGTATAATACCTATACGTACTCTATTTATTTTATTAAAAAACAAAAAGGGCTCTTCATATCTGAACCCTTAAAAAAGAAAATATACAATTGTCTGCAACTTTACAGTTTCAGCCTTTCAGACCATATAATATCATAATTGATGGTTATTCGATTCGCGGATTATAAAAAGCTTTACAAAAGCTACCTATTGTAACATGATTATTATTCCTTACCCCTCCCCGTATAACTATCGATTGTGGGTGTAAGTGTATATACATGTATATGTGTATTGTATACAAAATTTAATCTCAAAGTATAATATTATTATTGTATAAATATAATAATAACATTGCAAACGCAAAACTTTATTTCAAAAGGAATAGACTTTCGGTAGACCTATATTATATACGTTTATATATGCACGGGATGTGTAGGTGATGGCAAGGCGGGTGTTGCAGTAGCAACAGCAACAGCAGCGGGCCGTGTTCGAACCGAACGGATCACAGTGTTATGAGTTATGACCGGAAGGAAATCTGTTTGCCGCGGCCGACGATGGGCTTCCGGGGTGGGAAAAAGGTGCACCGCAACGTGTGCGTCGTTTACAGGCGTGTTAATCAACGTCCGGCCCTCGCGTTTGTGTGCGCTCGCGAAAAGGTCCGGGACGTTTGCACACTGTATACCTACACCATATACATCAATCACACCCCCGTTTAATGATGTTCGACCACCACCGCTCCGCCCTGGTTTATTGAGACTTGCCGCGTATAAAATGTACAGGGTGCAAATTATATGTTTTCATCGCGAACCCGCGGGGATTCAGAAAATAAATTTAATTTCGATAATATATTATTGGCTTAAGAGGACGAGATGCTCGCACGTGTTGTCTCGGTCTTGCAAACGTACGATGTGACGTAGCAAACTCCCAAACAGCGGGCACGAAATTGCGCGGTTAGTTTTAATATTGGAATGAATTGATCAATAGTTCTAGTTCATGAAGATGAGAAAATTTGTTGTGCGACGTGTTCGCTAGTTTCCGATAATTTAAAAGAGATACACGAGTAAGTATACGTTAAATTTTAATAATGCTTATATCTCGTTTGAAAATTAAAACATATTAAAAAAATAGCACCTAAATTGTAATGTTATAATGTAAACCTTTAATGGTATTTTAGAATACACAAAATAGATATGTTTGTAATTAAATTATAAGTTTTTACAAAATAAGACAACGAATGGTGAGTGGAAAAATTAACATTTTTTTTTTGTCCCCCAAAATCAAGATGAATATCGTTCTAATATCCACGTTATAAATCATTTGGTCTAATTATACATAAAGAGTGCTTCACTTTCGAATAATATTCTGATAGGTCATAAACCTTGGACACCTGAGCACCTGC